CTCGTCTACATAGTAAGTTCTAGGACAGCCAGAGCAACACAGTGAGAACTTGTCTCTAAAAAAAAAAAAAAAGAAAAGAAAAAAAAGAAAAAGAAACAAAAAAAACAGAACAAAATAAAAATCAAAACAGTAAATCATAAACCACTCAGTAAGAAAGCATGATTTGATATAGGCATAAATAATAAACTGAATTAGCTAAACAGCAAGATGTTTACATAATTTTGAAATATCTCACATAAAATATTTAATTACATAGGAGAAAAGAGTAACTTTACAATGGCAACAAGTAGCTGCCACAACCTTACTAAGCAACCATGAAAACCATGGTTTTCAACCATGATACAAATCAAAACTGTGCAACATGATAGGATATAATGAAGAAGGTCAATATAATTCTGTTACATAAAGTAACAGAAATGCAACTGTGAGAAAACATCAGAAAATTCAAATTAAAGGACATTTCACAAAATAATTGTTTTATAAAATCTTCAAAGTGTCAAGGTTATGAACATGAAGAAAATACTGAAGCTGGGTGTGGTAGAGCATGCCTTTAATTCCAACATTTGGGAGGCAGAGGCAGACAGATCTAGGTCAGCCTGGTCTAGAGAGTCAGTTTCAGGACAGCTTGGACTATGTAGAGAGACCCTGTATCAAAAAAATCAAAAACAAATAAACAAAAGTAAGAAACAACTTCAAAGGAAAGGATATTAAACACACATAATAACTAATACAACACATAAGTCTGAATTGTTTCTTGTGATGTAAGAGACACTAGGAAAAGTAGAGAAGTCAGAATAACAACCATAATGAAGTAGTACCAATCTCCTGTCCTGGATGTTTGCATTGCCATTATGCAGAAGATCTTTTAGGAAATGAGAATGTTTCATATTAAGTGACGGGGCTGGTCAACAACTCCTTCCTAAATGACTAAGTAGAAGGACAACTTACTCCAAAAAATTAAAAGTAGAATCATAGGAGAGAGAGAAGGAAGGAGAGAAATAAAATCATGCCTCAAAGTGCAATAACAAGTTACCATGCATTATGCCCCTTTCGTGTGTTTATTAACAAGCAGACAAACACAGCAAAGAGAAAGATTCAACAGTTCACCTGACCAACTAAACCATTGATCTCTAACCCACACAGCAACAGCAGAACACACAATCTTTTCAACTGTACACTGGTCATAATAATATCACAAAGTGATTCTGAATAGTGAAGTCATTCAGAGTAATCACCATGACCACAATGCAGTTAAGAATCACATAGCACCAATGGGACAAAGAAGAAACTGAAAACGACATAAAAATTCTATAAACACATTAGAAAAAGATGCTAAAAATTAACAAAAAAAATATGAGTACATTAAAAATTAAATATTTACTTTCAAGAAGGCAGAAAAACAAATTAAGGTACAAAATAGAAGATAAAGATAAAAGTAGAAATTAACAAAAGTGAAAACACACACTAGAGAGACTTGCCAAAACCCAAGAATTGCCAGATTACCAATATCAGAAAAAAAAAAAAAAAAGGCTAATGCCACAACAGGATATTACCATGTCAACTTAGAATAAGACAAAAATTTTTAAAGTATTTTTTCAAAATTGACACAAGAAAAAAATCTGTATATTGTGGGCTGGAGAGATGGCTCAGAGGTTAAGAGCTCTGACTGCTCTCCCAGATGTCCTGAGTTCAATTCCCAGCAGTCAAATGGTGGCTCAGAGCCATATATCATGAGATCTGGTGCCCTCTTCTGGTGTGCAGATATACATGGAAGCAGAATGTTGTATACATAATAAATAAATAAAATCTTTTAAAAAAAATCTGTAGTCATTAAACAAATCAAACCAGTAATAAAAACTCCCATCTATGATAATTTCATTGATGAATTCTACTAACTGAACAAAACTAACTCCAAATCTTCACAGATTACCAAGACTTTCGGTAAGTCAGTTCAAGTGAATACTTCTCATGAGCACAGCTTGTAAAAATTTTTAAATATTAGGCAACCATATCAACACTGGATATAATGAATTAAGGATATAGATAGCAATCTCTACATCCACAATAATGAGTTCCCCCCCCAATTTCTGATGTTTGATCACCAACTCCTTTTTAAGACTTTCCCACCTTTCCCACTTTGGTCCCTCAGCTGGCAAGAAAGACTATGCTTCCATTGGCACCAGCAGGAAAGTTAAGTCCTTCATGCATGGCTTCTGCTCTAGCTACTATTAGCACAACTCATTGTTTGCTTTGTTCAAGCTAGCCCAGACCTACTTATGGCCAGATCTCCCTGAGATTTTTTTATGTGAACAATAAACTTCCTTTCAAATTCTCTTGGTGTGAAGAGAACCAGATTTTGAGAATGAATCATATTGCTACTGCCAACCAACCAAGAAAACAAAGTTAAAGATAAAGGGAATAGGAGAGAGCTCAGTGGCTAAGGCACCTACTGCTCTGACAGGACACAGGTTAGTTTCACAGCACCTACATGGTGTCTCACAACCACCTGGAACTCTAGTTCTAGCGGACTTAGCATTTCTGGAATCTGTGGGCACTGCACATACAGTACACATACATACATGCAGGCAAATACTCTAGCATATAAAATAAAAAATACAATTTTAATTATGGGAGAATGTTAGCATTTGGATGTAAAATCAATTTGGTCCCTAGCCCTAGCCAATGGCCACTGTTTTGGGAGGTTTTAGAACCTTTAGAAGGTGGTTCCTTTCTTTTATATGGAGCATGGGATTTAAGCTATTTACGAACCCAGATGCTTCAAGCTAAAGATTTGCTTAGCTGTTACTGGATATGCTCCTAACCCTCTCACTGACTTAAGCTAAAGTAATACAGTAGGTCAGGCTGGTTGGCTAACAGTCCCAAGATCTGTCTGTCTCTGCAACCACAATGCTGTGACTGCACATGACCACCCTGCTATCTGGCTTTTAGCATGGGTACCAGAGATCAAACTCAGGTTCTAGTGCTTTCAAGACAAGCACTTTTTCAGCAGCACTACCTCTCTCTAGACCACAAAAACAATTTCTCTAATTTTCAAGATTTAAAACCCAGAAATTGAGTTAACGATTAATGGTATCTACCTCTGAGACTCTAAATATATGCAGTGTAAACATTCACCATGAAGCTCAGCATTTAGTATATTTTCAATATTAGCAGTGTCTTTACTAGTTCAAGTTTACAGTAATTTACTTTCTTCTCGTTCACAGCTTTATCTCAATTTTAAAGTAATTCAGCCTCTGTAAGTTTGCATTCAAGCCTTGAAGGGTGTAATTATTACTATACACAAATTTCTGTACTTTGAATTTCTAAACATTATGAAAATAACCATCACGTCCTATGATTTATAATACCCAAGCCAGAGATTGACACCTTGGCTTTTTTTTTTTTTTTAACCAAAATCAAGTTCTTAATCACTTCAGCTTAGTTAGTAAAGGACTTCTTTGAGCTTCTCATCCTTTTCCTTCTACATCTCCTCAGAAGAGGGAGTGCCAAAGAAATTAAATGATTTACCCAAAGAAAGTTCATTCACAAGAAATCCAAGTAAGGCCAGGAAGTGGTGGCGCACACCTTTAATCCCAGCACGAGGGAGGCAGAGGCAGGTAGATCTCTGTGAGTTCAAGAGCAGTCTGGTTTACAGAGAAATCCTGTCTCGGGGAAATAGAAAGGAGAGAGAGAGAGATAGAGATAGAGAGAGAGAGAGAGAGAGAGAGAGAGAGAGAGAGAGAGAGAGAGAGATGCAAGTAGTGTTCAAGATCGTACAAGACACAACTATGCAGGGAAGCAAGTTCTTGCTTTGCTTAAATAAACTGCTAATGAGCCATTCTCCTCCCATCAATCATTTGGCACAAGGGACAATGTTAGTGTCTTGGTTTCCCAGTGAATCATAGTATCAAGTTGTCATGAAGACTAAATGAAATTGTGCATCAATGTCACTCATGCCAGTAGATTTTGAATAAACACTCCCCCCCTTCCTCCTTCCCAAGCCTTGGGCTTTCCACTGTAATATGCTATCTTCTCAACCATTAACACACAGGTATTTTCTTTAACCATAACAGATTTATGAAGGAAAAATTAATTCAGTGATGAATTACTAATACTAGGTACAGTAGACAAACATAATTAGCCTGTCCATGAATTCAGTTTCCATTCCTATAAAACATGGTAAGAGAGGCTTCACATCCAGAAACATTATGATGATATTTTTTTACTTCTGGGCTGGCTAAAGTGCTTATGTGCCAGTCCACTCAATACTATAAAGTTATGAGGCACTTTTTAACATCTCTTAAAAATACTAAATATAATAGAGAAATCATGAGCTAGAAGGGGAGGAGAGAAACAAATACAAAGAGAGCATGCAAGCAGAAATATGGTTAATCATGACTGTGAGCCTAGCTAGATTGAGAAATGACAGGATAGGTCTGATGGTATTTACAGAGCTATGAATAGTTTAAATTACTGATGTATTCAAAATATGAACAGACTACTGGGAGATGACAGAACTGTTCAAGGGGAACATAGTTGGAGAAATTACAACACTGGGGGCATTTTCTTGGAAGATTCTCCACCTCATCCTCTTGTAGCCATGTATGTTGAAGCAAGCAACCATCAGCTGAAGCCTCTTCTAAAATCACAACCAAACTCTCCCCACTTATGTTTCAACCTCCCAGGAAATCTTCAGTGCATCTCCAATATAAAAATAGGCAGTAAATTATACCATTGGATGATCAAAGGTTCTTTTCAAAGTTTTAAATTTCTTATATCTGCTATCAAGTCTTACAAAAAGCTTTTCACATGTTACTTCACATGTTCACTTACTTCCATACCTCTTAAAAGACTTCTATCAGACCAGTTAGATTCAATCTCCTATAAAGAAATCACACTGCCCTCTGCCCTCAGCGAAACCCCAAAGCCTTTCCATTTGTGTAACTATCTTAAACCCTTTATTACACATTCCATCAGTTTGCCTGTTAACAGTGACTCACCCATCTGCAGACACTGGAGTCCCCTCTGGTTTGGAATATCCTTCCAAATCTGATTTGTTCACTTGTGTTTGCCTTGAGGTTACTATCTGGCTATTCTGAGGAAGTTTGGTTTTCAAGTCCTGAGAAATAGTCTTACTATCTGGAAGAGAAGACTGGGTGACTTCCAAGTCCAGTGGAGATTCAGGTCCTAGAAAACCTAAAGATTCTTGATCCTTTGCTATAGGTTTACAGGTCAGTAATTTGGAGGTTGGTTCCAATGACCTTGAAGGTATAGTTCGAAGATCAAAGTTACACTTACTATTAATCTTTGTTTTAGACGCAGTATCCAATGAATGAAACCTTTCATCTAAGGTTCCACTATCCAACTTGGAAGAAGTCTTGGGACAAAGAGTTATACGAACACATGAAAGCGCTTTTCTATTTGAAGGTGGAGGAGAATCAGCTGTACAGTGGTCAGGGGCTGACTGGGAGATCAAATTACTGACCTTGGCATCAACATTTATCATATTCGAAAAGTGTGACTGAGGCATATGCTGAATCTTTTCTACTACCCAACCTTGACCTTGAGAAAGAGGGAACTGCTCTTTTCTCATATCGTCATCTACATCTGGGGATCTGCATTGCTGCTGATCAAGAAAATCAGAAGGAAGATCTGCAACTACATAATCCTGGCACTTAGGAAAGAAAGAATGGTCTTCTCTGTTGTCATGATCTACCTGTGGGGCTTTGCACTGCTCAAATAGTTCTCGCTGTTCAAGAAAAATGCAAGAAGCAATGTCTGGACAAGAGGGAGAAGAATATTTTCTCATCTGGTGATCTGTATGTGGGCTGTGGCTTTGTTCGAAGAGCTCTCGTCCTTCAATAAAAATACAAGAAGGAAGATCAGGTGTTACAGTTACATTCTTCTCTTTTACTTCTAGTGTAGAACTTAGTTTGTCTGGGCTAATAATGGTATCCTTACCAGAAAAATGAACTCCCTTGAAATTGCTACAATTTGAAGTGACACTGGGTACAGAATGACTGGCTTTAAAACCTGATCTCTCTAAGGGTTTTTGTTTTTGATGAGAATGCTCACAATCAGCAGGTAATTTGTGCCTTTGCCTACTATCTTCAGCTAAAATAGTCACCGGTGAATGACTCTGTCTTTTAAGTGATGAAGGGGAAAAGATTTTCTGTTTAAGATCTCTAGGAGAAATCTGCTCTTCAGGGATACGAGACTTAAACACTCCTAAAGATGGTCCAGTATCCTGGCTACTTTCAGTAGTAACACCAATCTTAAAAACAGAGGTATCAGAAATGTACTTAGAATGTCCATGAGAAGAAAAAGTGATGGAGGTAGTGAACTGCTTCATGGACTCAGGGGAAGGAAAATCCATTTCTTTAGCTGGCACAAAAGTAGGTTCTACTAATCCCAATGGGTGGGAGTCCATGTTTGTGTGGAATGGCATTCCAACACCCTTGCTAATTTTGATGTCATCGGGTGCAAGTTTTTCAAATGGGGGATGACTATGTAACTGAAAGGAATTCCAAACTTTCAAATGGGTATTGCTCTGATCTATTGATCTGGAAAGGTTGATGTGCCTGCCTCTCCATGATGATGGGCTCCGTCGTCCTCTAATCGAGTCTGAAGGTTCAACAGATTGGAAAACACAATGGCGGCTGTCTGGTCGTGGTTGTTCAGCAGTAAGAGTCCTGAAACATCCTTTCTCATGGCTCTCAATAACAATGTGACCGCACACAGCTTCAGGCACACATCCTATTCCCTGTGGACTACATAAGCCCTAGAAGATAAAAACAGGTTCCAGATTAAATCAATCCAAAATCATATGCTGATCAGTTTTATATCCAAGCTAAAAATGACCATGAAGGTCATCTTACTTGTCTATAAGATTGGTCAATGAAACAGCAGGAAAAACAAAACTTTACAGAATAAAATGGCTCATGATAACGAAGAGCACTTAGGAAACTCTTTTAAAATTGTTCTACTTGGGGCTGGAGAGATGAGTGGTTAAGAGCACTGGCAGCTCTTCCAGAGCACCCTTTTCAGTTCTCAATACCCACATCAGGTAGATCCCAACTATCTGTAACTTCAGCTCCAGGGAGTCAAAGCCTCTGCCCTCTAAGGGCACCTGAATTCATGTATATATGCCTACATGTGTACACACACACGCACACACAATTATACATAGTTAAAAATACTAGAAATAGTGGGGCATAGTGGCACACGCCCTTAATTCCAGTACTCAGGAAGCAGAGGAAGGTAGTTCTCTGAGTTCAAGGTCAGCAAGTTTCAGTACAGCCGAGGCTATACAGAAAAACCCTGTCTTGAAAAACCAATAATAATAATAACAGTTGTAGTAGTAATAACAATATTAAAAAATAAATCCTAAAAAAAGAAAAAGAAAACACACACATACACACCAAAACAAAAAGCAAAAACAAAACTCAAAACTTAGCAGGGGAACTGTGAGTGTCAGTGGTAAAGTGCTTCCCTACCATGTATGACAGTGTAAGTTTGATCCCCAGCATAACACACACACCAACAACAAAAAAGAGGGGCACATAGATATGTCAATAAATAGGACATAAAAATGAGAAATAGGGAAATGAAAAGAATGTTCAACATTAAAAAACAGGAAAATGTAAATTATAACCACAATACATACTTGGGAGGCAAAGGAGGCAGATCTCTGCTAAGTTCCAGGTTCGCCTGGCCTATACTGTCAGAGAGCTACTTCTTAGTGAAACCCTATCTCCAAAAAGAAAGGAAAAAAAAAAAAAAAAGCAAGCAAACAAAAAACCCACAATAAAGTGTCGCTGTAGGGGCTGGAGAGATGGTTCAGTGGTGAAGAGCTGTTACTGCTTTTGCAGAGGACCCAGGTTGAGTTCCCAGCACCCGTATCAGTCCAGCTCCAGCCTCTAGCCTCCATAGGCACCTGCATGCACACATAAATATGCAAGCACACTCACATGCATATAAACAAAAACTGTGTGTGTGTGTGTGTGTGTGTGTGTGTGTGTGTGTGTACAGTTTCACTACAAACCCATCAGAACAGCTAAAACAATGACAATACCAAATGCTGCTGAGGATATGAGATAAGTGGATCACTTATCCTCAAACGATATGGCCACCAAAGAACCTAAAATGAACTCTTAAGAAACAAATGCATATTCCCACACAAAGCAACATGAATGTTAGGCAACTTTTGTTTATAAAGCCCAAGATTGAGAAATCACGAAACTGTTCTTCACAGGTGACTAAACATACTGTTGGGCAGCCACAGCAACACAAAGGAAAAGCTACTGTAATACCCCATAAGTTTCTAAAGAGTTAGTCTTCATTCAAATAGCTCAGTTATTCTGAGTGGAAAAAGCCAATACAAAAATACTTCATTTAAATGACATTCTTGATATTATGAAATACAGAAATGAGGACTAGAATAGTGGTTACAAGTGTTACAGAAGACGTGGGGGGAGAGATATAGATGTAGCTATGTCAGGGTAGCCTTAGATCAGTTTGTGAAAGTCAATATTCTGACTGTATTAAGCCAATGTCATGACTGGGACTGATCACTAAAACTTTGCAAGACATAGGCTGGGCACAGTGGTACATGCCTTTAATCTCAGCACTTGAGAGGCAAAGGCAGGTAGGCAGAACCCAGTGAGTTTGAGGCCAGTCTGATTTATAGTGTAAGTTTCAGGACAACTAGACCCTGTCTCAAACCAAAAATGTAAAAAAAAAAAAAAAAAAAAAAAAAAAAAAAAAAAGCTTTGCAAGACATGATCACTGAAGAAACCGGAAGCAGTACACACCCTCTCTACAGACCATTTCTTATAGCCTCATGTGATACTACAATTTAAAACAATATTTGGCTTAAAAAAAACTCAAGTATATTGAGTTGCCATTTTTTAATCTGATATATCACTGGGAAACAAATGCCCTAACTTGAGAAATACAAATTTCCTCCAATTTTAAAACTGGAAACAATTATAGATTGATATTTATCTAAAATGTGTTTCTTTCTCTGTGGCCTACTTCTTCCTGTGGCTTCTTCCCAAGAACTACTCCATGGACTACCTCTTCCTGTGGCATCTCTCAAGTCTTCACAAATTCCATAATCATCTTCCCACTTTTAAAACTCTTTAGAGTTTGGGATGGTGAGATGACCCAGGAGGTAGACACTTGCTGTCAAGCCTGACTCAGTTCAATCCTCAGAACCCACATGGTGGGAGAAAAAAACAGACTCTTGCAAGTTGTCCTCTCACCTTGCATGCTTTGGGACCCTCCCCCAAAATGAATATATGTACATTTTTTTCTAAATTCTTATTTAGTACCTGTCAAACATTATTTCTAAACTACTCTTCTTAAAATCTTACAATAAGCCAACATATTGATAGATATGTAAGAGGGTCTCTTTTTAACAAGCTACTGTCAATAGCCAAGACATGCTATCAAACTTAGTATCCAATATGGATGATGGAGGAAAAAAGTGTGGAATATGTATAAAATGGGACATTAGCATTCATAAAGTATGGATACAACTGCTGATTCTTTTCAGTTTTTCTGAATGTGAGTGTTTTGCCTGTATGTATGTTCCACATCTATGCCTGATGACTTGAGGCCAGGAGACAGTGTCAGAACCCCTGGAGCTGGACTTATGGACAGTTGTGAACTACAGTGTGGGTGCTGGGAACTGAACCCTGATCCTCTTCAAAGACAACAATAAATGCTCTTAACCACTGAGGCATTTCTCCAGTCCCATATCATGCTTGTTCTATGTAAAATTCAAAAGCATACTGAAGAGCATAGTCAATACATGTCAGGATAAGAAATAGAGACAAAACTAGGGAAAGAGATTCACAACATTTCAATGGTATTTGTCTGCAGTGGGAGGAGTGTTGGTTTGGTTTGGGTTTTGAGATAAAATCTTCTTAAATAGGGCTGGAGAGATGGCTCAGAGATTAAGAGCACTGGCTGCTCTTCTAGAAGTCCTAAGTTCAATTCCCAGCAAACAAATCTGTAAGGAGATGTGGTGCACTCTTCTGCCTTCAGGCATACAAGCAGGCAGAACACTGTATATAAATAAATAACCTTGAACTTACTGTCTCTGGCATTAGCCTCCCTAATACTGGGATTAGAGTAAACATGCCCAGCTCAATGGCATCTATTACTGGACTGCAAGCACAGGAATTAACTTCTCTTTAGATAAGTGTTTCAAGAAACAGTTCACTAAACATAGAAAATAAACTTAAAAAGAAAGCTGTTTTTAGATAAAACTACTTTAACTCTATTCTTAAGCAAAATACGTATTTCTGAAGCTGAGTTTTTATCTGAATTGCAAGATGTAAGGGAGACACTTAATCTCTCAACTGTAAAAATACACTGGCAAGCCGGGCAGAGGAGGCACAATCATTTAATCTCAGCACTTGGGAGACAGAGACAGTTGGATCTCTTGAGTTCGAGGCCAGCCTGGTCTGCAGATGAGTTCCAGGATACCCAGGGCTACATAGAGAAACCCTGTCTTGAATAATCGAAATAAACAAAAAATAAACCAGCAAAACAACTCAATTCTTGTTTTACTACTTTGATAATTTGGAATTAATCAAAACTTACAGAATCTAGTCCTTGAGTCCTAAGTTTTGGGGAGTTAATACTCTAATAAAACTTTGCCCTGGAGTCATCAGTGCCAAGTAGGAGCCCTAATTTCTATTGCCCTTTCTTTCACAGTTTCAGTCTTCATTTCTAGGTTTCTTTTATACCTCAGACACGTGAGTTGCTCTTCCATGACCAAACAACTTTGCCTTTATCTCTTCTACTTTCCTCCTGTCGTCTTCATTTAATTCTGAAATGGAGTATCCACAGTCATGTCCTAAATTAAACTTTAGATTCCAGGCTGGAGAGAAATCACAAATAGTTGATATTTAAAAATTGTGAAACTGGTCATTTTTTGATGACTACACAAACATCTGCCCCTTACTGCCCAACACAAAGCTGAACATGTGGTCTCAAGAATGTGACGTATCAAGAGCTCTAAAGAGGCCATTTCACTGAAAAAGTCTACCTACCCTCCATAACAGGGTATTTCCATGTAATTCAGGGTAAGCCTGAACTCATGATCTCTTGTGCCTCAGCCTCCTAGGACAGGGATTACAGGTATGTGCCATTATATATAAAGTAAAGTCTGAGTTTTTAAACCATCCTCCACAGATGTACCTCCAAAGAAGCCACTCTAAATATGGTGTTTAAATCATTAATCTTAATTTTTCTTCTAATCAGAGTCTCTATCTCCCCTCTTAGTACCTGCTATAATTACTAATGCTTCTATGATACCTAATACCTTAAATTAATAAACAAAACTAGACAGATTTTGACAGAATCAAAATGTACAAGGAACAGTACAGTCAGTTAACCTCAAGATTCCGAGTCAGTCCTGGACCACTTACAGATTACTACCCAAAACATCTCCTCATGTCTTAAAGACTGCTACATTTCCTTTACAAGATTCTATTAGAGATTAATGAGGCTAACAAACATCCTCTTTTAGATTTCTAACGAAGTTTTAGCACTAAAGGCCTTGACAAGTGTTTTTACCTTATGTGTCAGGTCCAAAATTTTCATTAGAAAACAGAGCATACATAGTTTTAAAACACAAAATAATTTACAGAAGAGCAAATTGGAGGCAATTGTGTCCCCAAAACAAGGATATTATAACGAGAGAATTAAAAGAAGCCCAAACTACTTTCTTACTGTCCATCTGACATGAAAATCTCCTTCTCCTAAAACTGTAAACTCAGACTAAGACTACTGATCATATAACTTATTTATATCATCGCTTTTGTTTTCCAGATTTTAGATAGAAAATATAATCATTCTACAGTTCTACAAGAAATTTAGAACTTTAAATGTCTCATTTTAAACTGCTAAGCTGTAATGTTCACAAGCCTGAATGCACCTGTATAAATCAGTCCTTACCGTGGGCTCGGACCCGACACTCCTCTTCCTCGGCATTTTTAAGTATCTGTTTGGCTTGATTCAGTGAGGATTCACACTGCAGAAGGTACCTCACATGTGCAGCCAGTGAATCCACACTACCACAGCCATCGTCACTCTCTGAGAACCCATCCTCTTCTCGGCTATCTGTTATGCTTGTCTTGGATGAAGCATACGGAAAGAAGTTTAGAAAAACATCAGACACCGACTCCAAAGACTCTGGTAAATTACTGTTCCATGAGCAGCAACCATCACTTACATCACTACTCGAGTCACTCTTTATGAATGTCATCATAGGGATAAAAATTTTATTCCCAAAGCCTGCACTGCAACCTTCAGGCTCAGACCTCATTACGGACCTGGAAGCTTCATACTGCCTGAAAGTTTCATCAAATGCTACTCTTGTGCTGTATGCTTCCTGTAGAGGACTTCTAATCGTAGTTGAACTAATAAACTCCCAATTTTCAACACCGCTCCGGCAGTTGAGGTTTGTCTGTGTGCCAATGTCCTTCTGTATACACTCAACGTGAGGGACTTCCTCTGTAAATGCCTCCCTCTGAGTACAAATATCAGTTACGGATGGATCTTTGAAGCAAACCACCTTCTTGGATTTTATAAATGAAACATCGTTAACATCTCTGAAAGGAACTAAGGGAGCAGGGAAATTGTATCGTTTCAGTGCTATATTTTCTGCCTCCATTAAAAGAGTCCGAATTTCTTTAAGAGTTTTGGAACCATGATCTATATGCTGGGTTTCCTCATAACCAACATCGCCAAAACCTGAAGATTCTGGCTTACATATAACTCCATCATCAATCTGCGAATTTAAAGGAATACTGTTTGCAATGAGAGAATAAGACTCAGGAGAATTCAAATTATCTTGGACATGTTCTGAGACAAGTTGGTGCTTTTCACTGTGTGAATAAGTACCAGGAGAAACTATAGGCAAACCAGAAATCTGTTCAGCTTGACCAAGATAACTTGAAACCTTCAGAGCATCTTCAGTTAGATATCTGTCTGGCAGTTCCTGAGGGAATCCACGGGATGTATCTAATTTCTCTCTGTGTGCATAAGAAACAGGCAGAGGTACTGGTACACCTGTGTTTACAGCAGTTGACTCATAGACAGTTGAAATCTTCGGAATATCTTCATAATGATCTCTATCGGGTAACTGTTTTTGAATAAAAACAAGAGGTTTTACTTTTTGAAGATAGGAACCATGAAAGGCTGTTGGTAATGGAGTCTTCTGATCATCTGGTCCAATCCCAGATGAAACTGCAGGCTTCTTTCTATGTAGGTAGGACCTATGAGTAACTGTTGGCAACTCAGACTTCTCGTCATCCAGTAGATCTGCAGCGGAAATCTTGTGTTTCTCCTTATGTGAATGGGAACCAGATGAGACTGCAGGTCTCCTATTCTGGTCAGATACTCCAGGAACAGTTGAAGCCTTCAGAGAATTTTCAGTTAGAACATGATCTGGTGAGGCCTTTGGATAAACATCACTGAACTTTTCTCTATGGAAGTAGGAACTAGACAGCCCTGTTGGAGTCCCAGGTGTCTGTGCTGCAAGTGCTGAACCAGTGGACACTTTCAGAGACTCTTCTGGGAGATGGCTGGCTGGCAATTCCTGTGAAGGATGGTAAGTTAAGGGCACTGTAGCTTTCTCAACCTTCTGAACAAATGGTCCAGGATGAACAAAACCACCTAATGCATCCTCACCAGTATTTGGCAGTTCCTGTTGATAAAAACCACTGGGCTTCTCTCTACTTGAGGAGGAAACTATTTGTGCCTCAGTTTTCTGATCAGTAGAGCCAGGTCCTACTGCTTTCAAAGATATTTTAGTAAGATCTGGTAACTCCTGCTGGGAAGCAATGAGGGGCATCTCATCCTTTGAGTAAGGGCTAGAAGACACTACTCCAGCAACACCTAAAACTTGCAAAGCTTCTTCAGGAAAATCTGGCAACTCCTGCTGGTAAGAACCACTAGGCCTCTCTCCGTAATAGGGAATAGAGGGCACTACTGGTATTTCAGTTTTCTGTTCAGTAGGTCCAGCACCACCTAAAACTTCCAAAGCTTTTTCACTACGATCTGGAAACTCTAGTTGGTAAGAAACAGTGGGCCTCTCTATATACGAGTGGGAAGCAGAAGGTACTGTTGGTATCGCAGTCTTCTGGTCAGTTGGTCCAGGAACAACTGAAACTTGCCCAGTGTTTTCAGTTAGAGGCCTATCTGGCAACTCTAGACTTGAGTATGAAGAGGTGATGAAGGGTAGCCCAGTTTTCTGGTCAGCTGGTCCAGAAACAACTGAAACTTTGTGACCTTTTTCAGTTCGCTGACTATCTGACAGGGCCTGATGGTGGAAAACAATGGGTTTTTCTCCAAAATAGGAATTAGAATATACTGGTGGCTCCCCAGTCTTCAGGTCAACTGCTCCAGGAGAAGTTAAAACGTCCGAAGCTTCTTTAGGAAGATGACCATCTGGCAAGAAAATAATAAACTTCCCATCCACTGGATGGGAACCTGAAGGTCCTGCCGGTGTACCAGTCTTCTGCTCAGTTGGTACAGGAACAGCTGCCACTCTCAAAGTCTCTGCTGTTAGAGGACTAGTTGGCAAATCATTTTGGTAGAAAATAATGGACTTCTCTCTAACTGGGTGGGAACCTGACGCTGATGGTCCTGCTGGTATGCTAGTCTTCTGGTCAGTTAATCCAGAAATCCCTGGAGATTTGAAAGTCTCTGCGGATAGAGAGTTACCTGACAAGCCAGGTTGGTAAAAAATAATGGACTCTTCTCCAGGGAGGTAGGAACTAGAAGATACTGCTGGTGCCCCAGTATTCTGGTCAGGTGGTCTAGGAGCAGCTGAAACTTTCAGAGGCTCTCCAGGCAAATGACTACCTGGCAGGGCCTGCTGGTAGAAAATCTGAGGCTTCTCTCTTTGTGAGGAGGAAGTAGAGGTTACAATTGGCATAGCAATGCTTTGGTCAGCTGGCCTAGTAGTAGCTGAAGTTTGCAGAGCCTCTTCGGATAGATGACTTGGCAGGACCTGTTGGTAGGAAATACCAGGCCTCACTTTTTGTGAATAGGAAGTAGGGGACACTGAAACTGTTGTCCCTGTCTTCTGGTCTTCTGATCTAGTTGTGCCCGAGACTTGCGCATCTTCAGTTAGGCGGCTGTCTGGAAACTTCTGCTGATGGGAAATACTGGGTCTCTCTTTATTTGAGTAGGAAGCAGAGGTTTTAGTTGATATTCCAGATAGTTCATCAGATGATTTAGAAACAGGTGAAGCCTTGAAAGCATCTTCAGGCAGGTGACTACCTGGAAGGGTTAGCTGGTAGGGGAAAATAGGCTTCTCTGCATGTGATGGAGAAGTAGGGGGTACTGTTGGCAGGTCAGTCTTCTGGTCAGCTGGGCCTGGGATCAATGTTTTTGTAGATTTTTCTGTTGAATGACTATCTGGCAACTCCTGCTGATAGAAAACACTGGGCATCTCACCATATGGATGAGAAGTCCCAGACTTCTGGTCAACGGATCTAGATACAAGTGAAGCTTTCTGAGTACCTGCAGGTACAGGTCTGTCTGGCAACTCTTGGTGGTAAGGAACAGTAGGTTTCTTTTTGTGCTGGTAGGAACTAGAAGACACTGTTGGAATGTCAGCCGTCTTGTCAGCAGGTCCTGAATCAGTGGAAACTATCACATCTTCAGGCAGGTTCTTTGCTCTGTGAGAATAGGAAACAGGCAATTCTGATGGTAAAGGAGTCTTCTGGTCACGTAGGCCAGGAATAACATAAACAGGCAATGCTTCTTCCGTTAGATGACTGTCTGATAATGTCTGCTGGTAGAAAGCGTTAGCTGTCTCTTTATGTGGCTGGGAAGCAAAGGTTACTGTTGGGGAATGGGTCTTCTCAGCTGATCCAGAAACAGCTAAAACATCCAGAGGCTCTTTGCCTGGACGACTGTCTGACAGAGGATGTTGATAGAAAATACCAGGTTTCATTCCCTTTGAATAAGAACTAGAGTGTACTGTTGACACCTCTGGCTTCTGGCCAGCTGGCCTAAGAACAGGAGACACTTTCTGAGTCTCTCCAGTAAAATGCCTATCTGGCAACTCTTCTTGGGGAAAACTGCCAGGCTTTACATCATGTGAATAGGTGGAAGGGACTACTGCTGCTCCAATTTTCTGGTCAACAGATCCAGGAGCAACAGAAACTTTCCAAGCCGGATGATTCAAATAACTTTCTGGGAAAGCCTGGTGATAGAAAGTATGTGGCTTCTCTCCGTGTGAATAAGAAGCAGAGGGCAGTGCAGTTATCCCAATGTTCTGGGCAGCTGGACCAGGAAGAGCTGAACCTCGCACAGTCTCTTCACTTAAATGACTCTTTGGCAACTCTTGTTGGTAGAAAACAGTAGGTCCTGTGTAGGAAGTAGGGGGTGAAACTGGAACATCAAATTTCTGGTCAGTAGTCCCAGGAGCAGCTGAAGTTTTCATAATATTTTCAGGCAAACGACCACCTGTCAAGGCATGTTGGTAGAAAACACCAGGCTTATCACTTTGTGAGTAAGAGGTAGAAACTCCGGTTGGGAGTTTCTGCTGGTTACTCAGAGTAGGAGCAGCTGGTGCCTTTGGAATCTCTTCAGGTAAATAACCACCTGTTGGGACTTGCTGATAGAAAATACCAGGCTTCTCTCTTCGTGAATATGAAGTAGGGGTCATTGTTGATAAACCATTCTTCTGGTCAGCTTGTCCAGGAAATGCTAAAACTGCTGGTTCCTGATCAGTTCGATAACCATCTTGATGTAAAATATTGGGCTTTTCTCTTTGGGAATAGGAATTAGTCCTGACAGGTGATGTCCCAGTAGCTGGTGCCTTTGGAATCTCTTCAGGTAAATAACCACCTGTTGGGACTTGCTGATAGAAAATACCAGGCTTCTCTCTTCGTGAATATGAAGTAGGGGTCATTGTTGATAAACCATTCTTCTGGTCAGCTTGTCCAGGAAATGCTAAAACTGCTGGTTCCTGATCAGTTCGATAACCATCTTGATGTAAAATATTGGGCTTTTCTCTTTGGGAATAGGAATTAGTCCTGACAGGTGATGTCCCAGTAGCTGGTGCCTTTGGAATCTCTTCAGGTAAATAACCACCTGTTGGGACTTGCTGATAGAAAATACCAGGCTTCTCTCTTCGTGAATATGAAGTAGGGGTCATTGTTGATAAACCATTCTTCTGGTCAGCTTGTCCAGGAAATGCTAAAACTGCTGGTTCCTGATCAGTTCGATAACCATCTTGATGTAAAATATTGGGCTTTTCTCTTTGGGAATAGGAATTAGTCCTGACAGGTGATGTCCCAGTAGCTGGTGCCTTTGGAATCTCTTCAGGTAAATAACCACCTGTTGGGACTTGCTGATAGAAAATACCAGGCTTCTCTCTTCGTGAATATGAAGTAGGGGTCATTGTTGATAAACCATTCTTCTGGTCAGCTTGTCCAGGAAATGCTAAAACTGCTGGTTCCTGATCAGTTCGATAACCATCTTGATGTAAAATATTGGGCTTTTCTCTTTGGGAATAGGAATTAGTCCTGACAGGTGATGTCCCAGTAGCTGGTGCCTTTGGAATCTCTTCAGGTAAATAACCACCTGTTGGGACTTGCTGATAGAAAATACCAGGCTTCTCTCTTCGTGAATATGAAGTAGGGGTCATTGTTGATAAACCATTCTTCTGGTCAGCTTGTCCAGGAAATGCTAAAACTGCTGGTTCCTGATCAGTTCGATAACCATCTTGATGTAAAATATTGGGCTTTTCTCTTTGGGAATAGGAATTAGTCCTGACAGGTGATGTCCCAGTAGCTGGTGCCTTTGGAATCTCTTCAGGTAAATAACCACCTGTTGGGACTTGCTGATAGAAAATACCAGGCTTCTCTCTTCGTGAATATGAAGTAGGGGTCATTGTTGATAAACCATTCTTCTGGTCAGCTTGTCCAGGAAATGCTAAAACTGCTGGTTCCTGATCAGTTCGATAACCATCTTGATGTAAAATATTGGGCTTTTCTCTTTGGGAATAGGAATTAGTCCTGACAGGTGATGTCCCAGTAGCTGGTGCCTTTGGAATCTCTTCAGGTAAATAACCACCTGTTGGGACTTGCTGATAGAAAATACCAGGCTTCTCTCTTCGTGAATATGAAGTAGGGGTCATTGTTGATAAACCATTCTTCTGGTCAGCTTGTCCAGGAAATGCTAAAACTGCTGGTTCCTGATCAGTTCGATAACCATCTTGATGTAAAATATTGGGCTTTTCTCTTTGGGAATAGGAATTAGTCCTGACAGGTGATGTCCCAGTAGCTGGTGCCTTTGGAATCTCTTCAGGTAAATAACCACCTGTTGGGACTTGCTGATAGAAAATACCAGGCTTCTCTCTTCGTGAATATGAAGTAGGGGTCATTGTTGATAAACCATTCTTCTGGTCAGCTTGTCCAGGAAATGCTAAAACTGCTGGTTCCTGATCAGTTCGATAACCATCTTGATGTAAAATATTGGGCTTTTCTCTTTGGGAATAGGAATTAGTCCTGACAGGTGATGTCCCAGTAGCTGGTGCCTTTGGAATCTCTTCAGGTAAATAACCACCTGTTGGGACTTGCTGATAGAAAATACCAGGCTTCTCTCTTCGTGAATATGAAGTAGGGGTCATTGTTGATAAACCATTCTTCTGGTCAGCTTGTCCAGGAAATGCTAAAACTGCTGGTTCCTGATCAGTTCGATAACCATCTTGATGTAAAATATTGGGCTTTTCTCTTTGGGAATAGGAATTAGTCCTGACAGGTGATGTCCCAGTAGCTGGTGCCTTTGGAATCTCTTCAGGTAAATAACCACCTGTTGGGACTTGCTGATAGAAAATACCAGGCTTCTCTCTTCGTGAATATGAAGTAGGGGTCATTGTTGATAAACCATTCTTCTGGTCAGCTTGTCCAGGAAATGCTAAAACTGCTGGTTCCTGATCAGTTCGATAACCATCTTGATGTAAAATATTGGGCTTTTCTCTTTGGGAATAGGAATTAGTCCTGACAGGTGATGTCCCAGTAGCTGGTGCCTTTGGAATCTCTTCAGGTAAATAACCACCTGTTGGGACTTGCTGATAGAAAATACCAGGCTTCTCTCTTCGTGAATATGAAGTAGGGGTCATTGTTGATAAACCATTCTTCTGGTCAGCTTGTCCAGGAAATGCTAAAACTGCTGGTTCCTGATCAGTTCGATAACCATCTTGATGTAAAATATTGGGCTTTTCTCTTTGTGAATAGGAAGTAGGGATTACAGGTGATGTCCCAGTATTTTGGTTAGCTAATCCAAGATGAGCTGAAGCTTTGGGAGCCTCTTCAGATAGATGGCCTTCAGGTGTAACCTGTTGACAGAAAATACCAGACTTTTCAGGCTTTTTTTTTTCTGTGTGAGAGAGAAACAGAGGATACTATTGGTAGTCCAGTCTTGTGGTCAACCAGTCCAGAAAAAACTGAAGCTTTCAGAACCTCTTCAGTTGGATAGCTATCTGGAAATCCCTGCTTGTACAAAATATTGGGTTTCTCTCTATGTGAGTATAAGAAGGTACTGCTGCTGTCCCAGTCTTCAGGTTGGTGGGTATAATAACAGCAGAAACTGTTAAAACCACCTGGGAAAATACTGGGCTTTCCCTTATGGGAGTAGGAAGTAGAAGGTGCTGATAATACTTTCCAGTCCGCTAATTTAGGAATATTTTAAATGCTCACTATCTGGCAATACCTTCAGGTTAACAATGTAAGTGTGGTGACCAACAGTGTTCTGAAAACTTACAGCAAAATGAGATAACCCTTCAAAGGACAACGATGAGTGTGCTGCAATGTCTGAATCTTCAAGAGTATTAGTGATATCTGGTTTCAACTTGGATTGAGAAATTGCAACTTTGCCTCCTTTAGAAGTGTCTCCTTTAAAAAGAAACAAAAACAAAATGAAAAAATACAATGATTTGTTAATGCTATGTAAATACATATTTTTCAATTCTTTTTTTTTTTTTTTTTTTTTTTTTTTTTTTTTTTTTTTTTTGCTCTTTGCCAATGAGATGATTCAGAAGGTAAAGCAATTGCTGAGCAAGCCTGACAACCTGGACTCAATCCCTGAAATTTATGTAAAGATGGAAAGAGAGAACTAACTCAAAGTTTTCCTCTGAGCTCTACTCACATGCCAGAGCCCACATACACACACACTAAAAAATTTTGAAACATTAAAAATTCCTTTCTTTGTGAGCAAATATAAATAGAGGAAGGAAGCTTTATTACCTCAGGCCTTTAAATATTTAGAAATTAATTCTATGGAAATAATCAACAAATGAAGACAGATGTATAAGAAGATATTAACTATAAAGCAAATTAAAGTAAAAATAATTAACAACAGAATTCATAACTTAAAAATAACAGGATATACACTTACAAAATATAATATGGGTCTTAAAATTGGGAGTTTTTAAAAAATTTTAATTATATGCAAAAATGTAAGGTCTGGAATTTGATTTCTTCCTATTTTCAACCTAAGAGCCTGCTATTATACCATGAGTGATGGCAGAAGAAATAAGATCCTCAGTTACAGAATAAGGAAAAAAAATTATCCATGGTCCAACAGACCACCAGCTTAGCTTTAAGGTTTCTGTAGCTGACCCGGGTTCTATTCCCAGAAACCACACAGCAGCTCACAACCATCTGTAACTACAGTACCAGAGGATCTCAGGCCCTCTTTTGACCTCTGTGGGCACCAGGCATGCACATGGTGCAGACACACATGCAATCAAAACACCCATACAAATAAGATAAATAAATCTAAAAGAAAAATAAAAAATAAGTTAAAAAGATTTCTCTGGCCCTCAAATCCAGTGGAGGCAAGCACTACAGAGCAAATGGACACTATGCATGTACTAGATTCAAACTATGTTCTCTAATATTTATTTATTTACTTATTTATTTATATTTTGGTTTTTCGAGACAGGGTTTCTTTGTATTGCTTTGGAGGTTGTCCTGGAACTCCCTCTGTAGACCAGGGTGGCCTTGAACTCACAGAGATCTGCCTGCCTCTGCCTCCTAAGTGCTGGGAATAAACGTGTGTGCCACCAATGCCCAGCAATATTTATTTTTTGAATAAATGAAATTATATAAGCCTACAAAGTTTGAACTACGTGACACACGGAGTTATTGACAGTTTTGTTAAGAACCATTCTGCATTAATATAAATTCAAGGTGGGCAGAAAAAGAATGTGGACATCTGAGCAGCACAAGCTAACAAAACTTTCTGTAATGACAGTCATGTTCTATTTCAGTTTAAAACAGTAATTTTAAATCAAGGTAGGTCTGAATAGCTATTTAAATAAATCACAACACAAATGTCAAGAGTCTGACAGTTTGTTCAATCATGCAGTAATTTAGTTAAGAAATATGTGTACCATGTGTTCAGACATTGATCCAAATATAGAATATAAATCAAGAGACAGACAATCCTATTTCACATACTATACATGCTAGCAGGAAAAGTCACAATAAATAAACTGGCTAAAAAAAAAAAAAGTTTTGTCAAATGTTGGCAAGGAGGTTATTAAATATAACAAGTATTAGCTATACTTTACATACAAGGAAAGTTTCCTCTCTCCAAAAGAGCTATAAATGGTGCTTCTGAATGTAGGTCTCTTGCTAACATGCACTCTTGATTCAGCAGGTCTCAAGGTAAAACCTGAAATTCTACACTTTTACAAGTTCACAGTGACCCAATGCTAATGGTCTAGAGCTAGAGTACTTGCACACCGAAAGAGGGCACCAGATCTCAATACAGATGGTTGTGAGCCACCATGTGGTTGCTGGGAATTGAACTCAGGTCCTCTGGAAGAGCAGCTGGTGCTCTTAACCTCTGAGCCATCTCTCCAGCCCCAAATGTAACACATCTTATAGTAATATTCTACAACACTACTTACTTTTCTATTTTTCTTTATTCTAATTCCAGTCTTACTTGGCTTATTTTCTTTCTATTCGTAATGTTAGTAACTAATATCTTAGTGTACACTACACTGTCCTTGTTCCTTTATTCCCCAAAACTTCAAATTGGAGTTAAAGGTTTAATGGTTTTCTTTGGCTATTCCTGTATCTTCTTAACAGTGTTACCCATTAATTATGGGTACTTCTGCAATCAGTAGTCTACACTTGTAGGTGCTGAAGATCGTAGCCAGTGTCCGGAACATATGTGTGCTAAAGGTTAAGCTACAAAGTAATGAATACTGAGTCCTATGGAGAGAAACTACACTTCATCCTCAGTACAGTAACTTATTCCCAGATAAATACTAAAAATACTTCAACTGAAAGAAAAAAGCAATTAAAGAAACCCATCTAGGGCTGGAGAGATGGCTCAGAGGTTAAGAGTACTTGGCTACTCTTTCCAGAGGTCCTGAGTTCAATTCCCAGCAACCACATGGTGGCTCACAACCATCTATAATTGGATCTGGTGCCCTCTTCTGACCTGCAGGTATACATGCAGACAGCACTTATACATAATAAATAAATCTTAAAAAAAAAAAAAGAAAAAAAGGAAACCCATCTAATTCCACATATGCCAAGTTCCAATACAGAAATATAAGAAATTGAAAAAATAAGTTCCTTGAAAAAAATCAAGGAACAATGATTCCTCTAAAAATTCTCATGTCTACAGTAATAAATTCCAATGAAAATAAAGTGGATAATAACCTAAGACAAAGAATTCCAAAAACAGATTTTAAAAATGTTCACTAAAATCAAAGAAAACGTGAGCAAACTCCTGAATGAATTCAAAGACAACACAAGCAATCAACCAAAATAAGGAAACCAATACAAGATATAAAAGATGAGGTCAATAAAGAGATATAAATACTGAAAAATCAAATTGAAATTTTAGAAATAAATAGCTAAGTAAGTGGAAATTCACACCAAAGGAATGGATCAGGGCTTGAAGATAAGGTAAATGAAGGAACACACTCAGATAACAATAAAAGTAAGAAGAAAGTATAAACAGTACATATGAGACTACTGAAAAACAGAACAAATCCTGGGCACAGAAAAAGTACAATATAAAGGCAGAAAAAAAAAAAAAAAAAAAGAGGAAACTTCCCCCTAGAGAAAGAGGTAGTCAACCAGATACAAGAGTATTTAGAACACCAAATAGACAAGACCAAAAAGGAATGTTGATGTGACATATTGTAGTTAATTATTTAAATATACAGATCAAAGAAAGAATATTGAAAACTACATGTAAGAAGTGCCAGTCACATAAAGGCAAAACGACCAAAGTAAGAGTAGATTTGTCACAAGAAATTTTAACAGCCTAGATGACATGGAACAATGTATGTGAAGCTCTGAAAGACAGTAACTGCCAACTGAGACTACTATAACCAGCAATGCTGTCCTTCATGAATGAAGGGAAACTGTCAATGGCAAACATAAAGTAAAGGAGCTCATGGACTCGACTAAATCAACACTGTTGAACAAGATTCTTGAAGAAACCCTATATACTGAAGAGAGAGACAAACACATTTATAATGTCATAGACTAAAATTAAGCTCTGCTAGATGAGTAACTTTTTCAAATGAAGACTAGGAAAGGACCAACTCTGATAAACAACAAAAACAAAATGATATTCCTCTTTATCATAACTCTGACACAATAACTCAACACAGTAATAGTGGGCTCACTTCACTCTCACCAAAATACAGAGTATTAGGATAAAAAAAAAATAGTAATAGTTAACCAAACAACAGTTAAATGGACTTTAAGAGACTTCTACAGAACAGCTTGCCCAGCTTCACAAAGCATACTCTTCTTAGTCGTCTGAGATTGTTTCCAAAAAACAGACCATAATTTAGCAAAGTAAGACTGAACAAATACATGAAAATTAAAGCAATCCTTATATTCCATCTGATCACAGCAGAATAAAGACAGAAACTAACAAGAGACTACAAAAAATATGAGCAATATGCTACTGAATGGGTCAAAGAAATCAGGAGGAAAATTTTTAAGTTCTGAAATTAAATGAAAGCAAAAACAAAAACCTGTGGGATACAATGAAGCAATTCTGAGAAGGAATCTTATAGCTACTACCCACATCTAAAAGGTCAGAGCTTTCAAATAACTTAATCATGGAACTCAAATTCTTAAAAAAATAAGAATGAGCCAAATGTGAGATCAATAAACAGAAATAAGGATCAGAACAGAGATTACTGAAATGGAAACACAAAGAATAGAAGAGCCAATGAAACATAGTTCTTTGACCAAATAAAGTTGGCAAATCCTTAGCCAAACTATCTGAAAGAAAGGATACCCAAATTAATAAAATTAGAGATGCAAAGGGGAAGATATTACAACAGATAATAAAAATCAGAAGACCATTAAGGCATACCAATATGAAAACTCACATGTCAATAAACTGGAAAATCTAAAAGAAATAGATAAATTTCTAAGTACATATTGTCTTAGTTACTTTTTTATTGCCATGAAGAGATACTGTGACAAAGGCAACACCTATAAAACAAAGCATTTAATTTGGGGTTTTCAGTTTCAGAGGGTGAATCCATGACCATCATGACAAGGAACCTGGTAGCTGGCTGGCAGGCAGGCAAGCAGGTATGACAATGGAACAGTAGCTGAGACCTTATATCTTGAGATACAAGTACCAAGCAGAAAGAGAGCTAACTGGGAATACTGTGGACTTTTGAAACCTCAAAGCCCACTCACAGTAACAGACCTCCTCCAACAAAGCCACACTTCCTAATCCTTCCCAGAACAATTCCACCAAGTGGAGATCAAGTATTCAAATAAATGAATCTCTGGAAAGCCGTTTTCATTCAAACCACCAGGCATATGAACTACAAAAATTAAACCAAGATATAAATAGCTTAAACAGATCTACAACAAGCAATTAGTCTGAAGTAGTAAAAAAAGAAAAAAAGAAAAAAAAAATCCATGCCCAGATAGTGCCACCACTGAATTCTACTGGGCATCTTTTACACATTTGAATATGAATATTTAATTTTCTTAGTGTGTGTGCACACATAAATACTAATTGTGGTTTGATAAGAATGGCCCCCATAAGCTCATATATTGGAATGCTGAATCACCAGAGAGTGATTTGAAAGGATTAGGAGGTGTGGCCTTGTTAAGAAGGTGTGTCACTGGGTGTGGGCTTTGAGGTATAAAAAAGGATATAAAAAACGGTCTCCAAACTCTGTGTGCTGTCATGCTCCCCATCAAGATAATGGAATAAGCCTCTGAAACTGTAAGCCAGCTCCTAGTTAAATGCTTCCTTTTATAGGAGTTGCCTTGATCATGGTCTCTTCACAGCAATATGACAGTGACTAAGACACCAGTGTAAGGCTGTGCATTAGAGGTCAGAAGACAACATTCAAAAGCCAGTTTTCTTTCTATGGATCAAACCCCAAGTATGTACAGCAAGTGCTTCTTCCCATAAGCCATCTCTCTAGCTGTCTACCAGAACTTTTTAAAACATCTTTTACCTTTATGTATATGGGTATATTGCCTGAATGTATGTCTGTGCACCACATATTTGCAGTACCTGCAGAGGTCAGAAGAGGGTGTGAACTGGAGTTACAGATGTTGTTAGCTACCATGTAGATGCTGGGAATCAAACCCAGGTCTTCTAGAAGAACAGCTAGTGCTCTTTTAAACATTAAGTCATCTCTCCAGCCCCTATGAGACCTTTAAAGAAGAACCAATAATGGTCCTCAAAGCATTCCATATAATAGAAAAGGAAGGAACATTACCAAATTCATTTTATGAAGCTAGTATTACCCTGATACCAATAATGGATAAAGACCCACAAAAAAGAAAATTATAGGCCAGAAGAACACAAGCACTTAAAATCCCAGTAAAATGCTTGCAAACTAAATTCAATAATACATTATAATGATCGTTTACCATGAAAGACCCAGTTAGCCTCTTTCCAGGCAATGTAAGGATGATTTGGCATATGTAAGTCAGTAAGAGTCAATAAGCATAACATACAACATAGACTCAGACAGAAATCATACAATCTTCTCAACAGAAATCATACAATCATCTCAACAGATATAGAAAATACTTTTGACAAAGTCCAACACCCCTTAATGATGAGAGCCACGAAGAAATGAGAAACAAAATAAATATATCTCAATATAATAAAGGCTACATATAAACCAACATTTTCCTAAATGGGAAAAAAAAACTAAGTCTAAGGGTATCTACCCTCTCCACTCTGATTAAATATGTTACTTGAAGTCTTACCTATAACAATAAGACAAGAGAAATAAGAGATGCAAATAGACAAGAAAAAACGTCAAAGTACTCCTGTTTGCACATAATATGATTACATACTTAAGAAGTAGGACTTAGTGAGATGGTTCAGAAGGTTAAGAGTGCTTGCCATACAAGCCTGGTAACCTGAGTTCAATTCCCAAAACCCATAATGGAAAGAGAAGACCAACTCTCAAAAGCTGTCCTCTCAAGTACACATGCACTGAAGAGACAGTCAACCGGCTTTCTGAAGAGATCTGACCAGTCAGCCCAGAAAAAGATGGTTTCTAAATATATTTTCTTCCAAAGCTCTAGTTTAGTGGTATCATCTATAAATGAACACTTAAGGAGGTTTTTCTGGTCCAACATTTAAGAACTTAGAATGCCTGCCAATTTTCACAAACAAAGGAAGAAGAAAGCCTTAGATGATGGTACTTGTAGATTTAGGGTTTGCCAAGGGCCTCTTACAAATACAGAATGCCACTGTCATATTGGGTCATATTCGGGGAGGGCAGCAAGGGATCACTCCAAGGTCCTTATTTTAATTGGCACTAAGAGTCCTTGTGATCTAATTACCTTCCACAGGCTCCACTTCCTAATGCCATCACTGAGAGAGTAAGAATTTCAATGTGAACATTTGAGGGGACACAATCATTCAGACCATAATGAATTCTCATTTCACAGAAGAACATTTTTATGACTTAAAGGCAAGAGAAGTATGGATGCAAATAATCTTGTACAGAAGAGCATGGGAGACCATTTTGAAGAGGAAAGCAGTATTATCTGCTGAGGGAGATGGTGGAAGCAGACTGAGATCTGAAAAGAGTGGCTTACTGAAAACTTAAATTGACAGGCATGATGGCACACACCTTTAATCCCAGAGCTCAAGGCAGAGGCAGGCAGATCTCTGTAAATTCAAGGCCAGGCTGGACTACACAGTAAGTTCCAGTACAACCAGAGCTACATAGTGAGACCCTGTCTCAAAAAAGAAAAAAAAAAAAAAAAAAAGAATTTATGTTAAAGGGAAAACTAGATGGCAATAACTACATAAAAAGATTGGCTGATAATTCTCAGAAGTAAACGGAGTTCAGAGATAATGATTCTATGATATTAGCCTACGGAAGCTAATGGTATGGCTTACCTATCCCATTCCCAAAAGCCTCAAAATCAGTGATGCCAATAGTGTAACTCTGTCCAAGAGCAAGGGCTGAGAAATTGCCTAAAGGTCAATAACCTGGTTTTCTGACATTCAAGGTTTGTTCAATCCAGGTCTCAACCAATTAGACAAACTCACAATGGTGAGGCAGACCTTCCTTATTTAGTCTACTTATTTAAATCTCTTCCTCAGATACCCTTACAGGTATATACAGAAATAGCGTCTTACCAATTATCTGGCGTGTTGGCTACTTTTTTACCAACTTAACACAAGCTACAGTGATCCAAAAGGAGGAAACCTCAACTGAGAAAATTCCTCCATAAGGTCCGCTTGTAGGCAAGCTGTGAGACATTTTCTTTATTAATGACTGATGTGGGAAGAGAATACCCAGCCTGCTGTAGGTGATGCTACACATGGTGCAGGCAGTCCTGGGATATGTAAGAAAACCAATAGAGCAAGCCAGGAGAAACAAAGCAGCATTTTCTCTGTGGCTTCTGCTTCAGTTCCTGCCTTGAGTTTCTGCCCTGACTTCCCTTAGTTATGGAGTGTGACCTGAGAGCTGTAAAATGGCCATGGTGTTATCACAGCAATCCGTAATCCATCTAAACTGCTAGAAAGGCATGGTAAGGTAATATTCATGAGCTAGTTATAAGGAGGACATGTAACACCCCCGTTTTCTACATACATACCTGCTGTAAGAGCTGTTGGCAGAGTATCAGGAGATATCCTCAACATTCTGAGCCTGGGGAAAGGATAATTTGACTCACTGGTTGGTTCTTGAGGAACAAATGAAGGCAATGGAGTTGGAAAAGTCTGGCTAATGCCCAGATTAGAATGGTCTACCTATGAAATTAGAAAAGAAAGGAAGAAAAAAAGATTTGACGCTTAACGTGGATAAAAAGCAAACCTCAATATTATAAAAATTAATGCTTAAGAGGTTTAATAATAATTTTTATTTTTATAATTTATTATTTTTAATAATATATTTTAAGTTTTTTAACTTAATTTCATTTGACATGTGTGTTTTGTCTGCATTATGTATGTGCACTTGGTACAGAGTTCAAAGAAGGTTATTGGATCCCCTGGAACCATTTACAGATGGTTATGAGTCACCGTGTGGATACAGGAAATAGAACCCGGGTCTTCTTCAAGAACAAGTTGGGGCCATAGAGATGCTGCAGCAGTTAAGAGTACTGGCTGCTCTTCCAAAGGACCTGAGTTCAATTCCAAGTACCCACAACTGTCTGAATCCAGTCTTCTGGTTTCCAAGGGCACTGCATAAATGTGGCGCACAGATATACATGCAGGCAAATCATCCATACACAAAAGGAAGTACATCTTTAAAAGAACAACAAGTACTCTTTACCAATGACCTATTTCCCAGTTACCAGTGACTTATGATCATATTCTTCCCAGGTGTGGTGGCATCTGCCTGAATCTCAAAAAGAAGACTAAGAACTACAAGTTTGAGGCCAGTGAGATCAGGGTCAGTCTAGTAACAGGATAAGACTCATACTCTCAAGTCATTTGAATTCATTTACAGATCATATTTTGTTTGGTGAAGACACCATATCACATAGCAGTGATTCAGTGGCATTAAATCACAAACATGCATAAATCTCTATTGAATTCATAGGATACTTAGGTAAAAGTACAAAGCACTTTTAACAGAATCCAAAAATAAACATAAGCATGATTTCATTTATTTATTTATTTACTTATCTGTTTATTTACTTACTTATTTGGAGACAGGATCTATCTATCTATCTATCTATCTATCTATCTATCTATCTATCTATCTATCTGGAGGTAGGATCTCATGTAGCCTAAATGTGTTGAGACCCAGCCCCCATGGGTCTCTAAGAGTTGTTTTCTAGCACAACCACAGGTACCTCCTGTTTTCCTGACCTCACCCCACTAGGATCAATATCCTGTTGTGAACCCTTTGACCTGGGGCTTTTGTAAGTTTGTATATTTAGGCTGCTCCACCACAAAGGTGGGAGACATTCTCTCAGAAAGTGGACCAGGGGTATTGTCATTCATCCAAATCTCCAGGCTTCCGCCCGATACTCCAACTTAGTGGTGGCCAAGAGCAGCCACAAATGGAGGTTCCACTGAGACCGGGAAAGAAAGGGGACCCTGAGAGATCACCCTCAGAAGGCTGGACAGCAAGTAAGGAGTTGTGAGGGTGGATTGCAAAAGGTACTAGAAAATAGGTACCTCAACTCCTGAGAGTTGGATAGGAAAGGCACTGGATAAGGGGTGCTGATGGGGGAAGTACTTCTGTGTATGTTTATCTTACTGATTGTTGAATAAAATACTGTTTGGCCAATGGCAGCAAGTTAGGCAGGACTAGGAGTCAAAGAGGATTCTGGGAAATGTAGTAGAGAAGTGCTGATCCGGGCAGGAAGTGACATAGCAAGGAGACTCATATTTAAGCGAAGGAGAAACAGGAAGGGCTCTCTTTTCCCCTCCACTCCTGCTCCAGTGGCACAATGTGAGCCACCAACAAGGAGGGACGCCAATAAGGCGTCCGATAAGATAAGTCTTATAAAATATATAGATTTATGATAATTAAGACGGAGCTAATAGATGAGAAATCCTAGTCATTGGCCAAGCAGCTTTGAACCTAATACAAGCTTCTGTGTATTCATTTGGGCCTAACTCAGGCGGGCGGCTGGCGTAAAGCTCACACGTGGCAGTGGGGCTCAGGCGGCTTTTGGCGGAAAGATTTATCGTAACAATGTGCCTCAACTCCTAAGAGAGTTGGGTTATAAAGGCACTGGAAAAGGGGTGCCTCAACTCCTAAGAGAGTTGGATTGGAATGGAGATCACAGTCAATCACACAGAGAAAGTTTAAAGAGACAAGGTACTGGTAAGATTTCATTTTAACTTTGGATTAAGTAATAATATTAAGAAAATTATTAAAGAAATACAAGAAATCCTACTCTGAGGAATCCCTTCCCCGTGAGCTGTGCACCAGCTGCCAGATGACCCAGCAGCCCATGCCCTTGTGCACTCGGGCCCACTGTGGGCTCCAGTCAGCCAGCAATGATGTGGTCTGCACAGGCTGGCTGGAGAAATCACCTCCTGAGAAAAAGTAGTTGAGGCGCTATGCTTGGAAGAAACGCTGGTTTATCCTGCGGAGAGGCCTGATGAATGGTGACCCAGATGTTCTGGAATACTACAAGAATGAACACTCTAAGAAATCCCTGCAGATTATCACCTTAAACTTCTGTAAGCAGTTGGATATAAGCCTGACCTTCAACAAAAAAAAGTTCCAAAAGAGTTTTATGTTTGACATCAAGACCAATGAGCGCACCTTCTACCTGGGGTGGCTGAGACAGAGGCTGACATGAATAAGTGGGTCCAGAGCATCTGCCAGATCTGCGGCTTCAGTCAGACTAAAGAGAGCACTGAGAAACCTTTCTTCAGTCAGTCATAGTCTCTGCTCTTCTCCAGCTGAGTTCAGCAGCTCCAGTCAGCACCTGCTCCAAGCAAGAAAGTCCTCAGCCCTTTCACACTCTAGCCAGCTACCTGTGTCAAGCCATATCCAGCCTGCCTTGCCCACCAGTACAGAAAATGCAAGGAATGCCAGTTTCTCTCAGAGCACCAACAGGAGAGTGATACAGCTGCACAAAAACTTGCCCAGGGCAATAGACACTGTATCAACAGAGTCAGCAGTCAGGTCCATGGCTTCCATAGCCTTCCCAATCCAAGCCAATACAGTGCTTTTGACCTCCCTCATAGCCACACCAAGGGCAGCCTCACAGGGTCTGCGGCAGATAGTGAGGATGTGTACACCTTCAAGTCACCCAGCAACACCCTGTGTAGGGAATTTGGAGACCTCCTAGTGGACTCAGCCATAGCTCCCCCACCAAGGCACCCAAGACACCTCAGTGGGGCAGCCCTCAACAAAGACCTCCAGTCAATGACTACAAGTACCCAACACGAGGCATAGAAACACCTGCTGGCCTGCTAAATCCCCAAAAAGGACTATTGTGGGTCTATCAGACAGAGCCAGCTCTGATGACAACTATGTGCCGGTAAATCCAGGTTCTGACATCCCCATGAGCACAATGCCCCATCACTTTGACCCACTAAGCTACCCATCCACAGCCCTTATTCATACAGGCTCCAGCTGAGGAAGCGAGATCCAACCATCCCCAGTCAATCGCCACTTCAAGCCTGGCTGAAAAGCAAAGCTAGCACCCCTTGACCTGAGAAACAACAGTCATCAATGAGCTCCCTTTCAAGTCACCTGTCACCAAGTCTTGGTCCTCCCAGTACTGCCGTTCCATCTCCACACAAAGCTTCACCAACACAGACTCTGGAGACAGTAGGGAGAACTATGTCCCTATGCAGAACCCAATGTCTTCATCCCCTGTTCCCAGTGACACTAACAGCCCAGCTCCAAAAAAGAGTACTGGCAATGTGAATTACATAGCCCTGGACTTCCAGCCAGTCTCCCTAAGCCCTAATCACAAGCCATCCACATCATCTGTCGCACTGGATGAGAAAGTAGAATATGTCCAAGTGGTTAAAGAAAAGACCCAGGCCCTACAAAAGACCATACAGGAATGGACAAAGATGCAGCAGTCCTCAAGACCCTCCAAAGATGCCAAACTATGGTAAGGATAGCCATCCCTCCCCACACCTCCTCTCCTTTGTGAGTTTTGTTCAAAAGATGTATGTATGTTCTGTATGTATGGTGTGGCCACACATGTGTGTATGAAGTGTGATCGTATAAATGTGTGACTGTTAACAAAAGAATGCTGTTGTGTTGTCTTTAAATCATTTAATTGCTGGGGAAGGAGCAACAGTTGTTAAAGTACAGGTTACTTGGGAGGGAAATTTCTGCTTTTGTTTCCATGGAGGGTGAAGAGCTGTGGATTCCTTCCAGACTGGTGTGGTTTCATGGGGCAAGACCCCCCTGAAGGAGTGGCTCAGGTGATCCTAATATTTGTTTTCATTTAAATTTAGTTGGTTAGAAATGGTGGTGGTCACAGTCAATCACTTTTTAAAGAAAAAAGGAGGAATATGACATAGAAATGATACTTTGCATTGGAATGGATCCTCATTTGTTGATACTTTGTATTTGAATGGATCTTCATTTGCTGATATTAGTTAGGTTTTCTAGATATATATTCTTCAAACCTTTCAAAGACCTACAGAATATATGGTATTTAAATGGTTTAGGGTTTTTCTTGACAGTGAGACACAACTGCTCCTGGCACACCAATTACATCTGAAAGGAAGGTGGGCATCGAAGAAACTTGTTATAGAGTTTGCCTTTGACATGGCAAGACTAGTCGGTTGGGCAAGAAGCTGCTCTTGCCTGAACTGTTTAACTGTTGCTTTATAAACTGGACATGCAGGACCCATAGGAAAGTGACTGCTGATGGACAGTCCTAAAGGTTCCTGCTTCATGAAAGAGTCTGCCAGGTATTCTACAGGACACAGAAAAAAGGTGATGGACAAACTGCCAATGCAGGTGGACAGTTTAGAATTTCCTGCTTTGCTGAGAAGTCTGCCAGACACATTGTGTAGGCTGTAGGCTAAAGATGGATGCCTCAACATTACCAAGAAACTTTGGGTGACAGTCTAGGAAGCAAGATGTCTCTGTCAGTTCTAGAGTTTATATATTATCCTTCTATGGTCTTTGATGGTGTTGAAGATAGATAGTTATAGTAACACACTAAGACAGAATGGTTAAAAACTTATAGTTCTTACTTGATAACTGTTTTGTTATATATAACGAAGGGAGAGATGTTGGGACCCAGCCCCCATGGGTCTCTAAGAGTTGTTTTCCAGCACAACCACAGGTACCTCCTGTTTTCCTGACCTCACCCCACTAGGATCAATATCCTGTTGTGAACCCTGTGACGTGGGGTTTTAAGTTTGTATATTTAAGCTGCTCCACAATAAAGGTGGGAGACATTCTCTCAGAAAGTGGACCAGGCGTATTGTCGTTCATCCAAATCTCCAGGCTTTCGCCTGATACTCGGAGTTAGTGGTGGCCAAGAGCAGCCACACAAATGAACCTCAAATTCCTCCCTACATAGCTGAGGCTGGCTTTTAACTCCTGGTCCTCCTGTCTCTACCTCTCAAGTACAGGGATTAAAGGCATACACTACTTATATTTTTATTTGTTGGGTTTTCATGTCTCAACTAGATGTAAGGATTAATATTCTACCTTTATTTCCCTAAACACTTTTCTAAGCCTAGTAGCTCTCTTTTGGAAAAGTCCAGTACCTAGCAGTGTCAGGCAATGTTTTCCAATGTCTTAACTGATGAGAGCATGGGTAGTAGGAGAGGGAGCTACTAGAGATACTAGAAAACAGACTAAAACACAGAGTATCTCTCTCAATCAAATAAACATATAATCCAAAATGTAAGTGCTGACTGAGAAGCCCAAAATTTTTAAGTCAAGAATCTGGCTCCTAAGATGTTTTTTAGTACAGCTTGTGGGGAGAAGGCAGAATAGGAAGAGGTAAAGGAGACACGGGTGGATACAAGAGAGTGAATTAAGTTTCTCCTACTCTTCCAAATAAAGGAAGAAAAATTTACTACAATCTTAACTTCAGTAAAAAATGTGCTATCATCGCATCTTCAAACATAAAGAGCTATTAGAGCAGGCAATACCAAAGAAAATACATATTAACTTTGTGGCCTGTTGGCTATAGCCAAGTGAAGAGAAAATAATACAGAATGAAAAGGATGAGAAGTATTCAATAAACCAAGAGATCCAAGGGAACTATTTGAAAATGAGAGGGAATCAAGAGGAAAATGCTAAGATTTATTTCCCATTTTTAAAATCTGTGTGTGGTGCGAATGAACCCAGGGCCGTGGGCATGCTAGGAAAATGCTCTATCATCAAGCTAGGTCTTCAGCCCCTTAATTACCATTATTAAAGATTTATTTTTATTTTTTTGTGTTTATGGATGCATGTTTCTTCCATGGATACAGATGTCCTCAGAGGCCTAAAGAGGGTAGTGAATCCCCTGGAATTTTGGCTACAGGTAAGTCACCTCATGTGGGTACTGGGAACTGAACTCAAGTCCTTTGGAAATTCCCATTTTAATCACCAATGAAAATAAAATAAAAGATGAGTAAGAAACTTGAAAAATGCTAACATTCTATAGAAAAGCAGAATGTGCAGGATCTTAGGGAAAGTGTGATCTATTTTAATATAAACAAATTACATTTGAGGTGAGCATAATGTTCAATTAAAAAATTCATGTAAGATACCATAAAGGGCCTAATTCAGAAAGCATTATCATCTAAAAGTACAGTTAATAGCAATCCAGAGAAAACTAGACCTTTTTTGTTTGCTTAGTTTTTGTTGTTGTTTTTGTTTGTTTGTTTTTTCAAGACAGGGTTTCTCTGTGTAGCCCTGGCTATCCTGGAACTCAATTTGAAGACCAGGCTGGCCTCAAACTCAGAGATCTGTCTGCCTCTGCCTCCCTACTTAATGAAATATTGTAAAATGTGGATGAAAATAATCCACACTAATCCAGTTTGAGAGGACAGACTAAGTGAACTACTGTGTACCTATGAAGCTCTTGGCACTGCACTTGAGCAAAGTGTCAGCCATTATTTCTATCCCCACTCTCATACTGAAAATTCGAATACTGCCTACTTTAGAATAGTAGACAAAAGAAACCCCATGAGACTTTCCTACATAGTCAGCAACCTATACATAAAAGGAAAACTCTTCATGCTATCTTTGTTCATTTTCTCATGTCAACTTCTAAATCTAACAAGATACAAAGACACATCACAAGTGAGACCCAGTTTGGTATTGACAGCATCACACAAACAAGGGTGGAACTCAAGGACATTTAAAGCCAAGGTGGCCCAAAGACCCAAGCAAATGAAGTCTTATAAAGCATTTTAATAAATCACCATTTTCTAGTATAGAAACAATGATAACAGTGACATAAAACAGATGGGGGTGATGCAAGCTTATGCAGCTCATAGGAGAAGGAGGCAGTTAGATCCCTTCAGAAAGACTGACTAGTTTGGATTCTAAGCACTTCAGTGTTCTTCCCAGGGAAACAATGATACCTGACATTTTCTTAAATGCCTGAAATCAAAATTTTCAAGAACTTCTAAATAGAAATACTTGAGTATCTCAAGGTTGGTACACTAAAGACCAGAGGGAAAAGCACAACTGAATGTCCTCATGAATGTGACTAGTTTTCATACGTTTCAAAGATTCTTGCTGGCCTAACACGAAAAGGATACCTCAAGACAAAAAGCCTGGAGGGTCAAGTGTGGTGGTGGATGCCTTCAATCCCAGCACTCTGAGTTCAAGACCAGCATGGTCTACACAGCACACTCCAGGACAGCATACAGACACCTTGTCAAAAAAAAAAAAAAAAAAAAAGAAAAGATAAATAGCCTAGACCTCCAAAAGATGTCCTTTTCCAAGACACCATAGAACTCATGGTGGGCAGTGATGGCGCACACCTTTAATCCCAGCACTTGGGAGGCAGAGGCAGGTCTCCATGAGTTCCAGGTCAGTTTGATCTAAAGAGCTAGAAAAGCCAAGGCTTTGTATACAAAGAAACCCTGTCTGGATAAACAAAAACAAACAAAACACTTGTTAAGTGTCATGGTCTATGAAACAATCTTTCTGTCAACACTTAGTAGATCATATTCCTGGATATGATATGAAGACCAAACTATGAGTCAGAATTGGTATCAAAAAATAAGTGACCCTTTTACTTTCATTATCATTTTCTTTTCAGCTAAAATATTCCTTTACCTATCCATAAAAAATGTCAAGTAGAGTAACTTACAGACTTTTCAAAATGGCTCTCCTCAGATGATAGTTGTGAAGTAGGTAGCCAAAACAAGGAGCTGTCGCAAAGATCATCAAGCATTGTCTCTAAATCTGCAAGCTCCAAGTACTCACCAGGTAAGCCTTGTAGGTCCCAATAGAGAGACCCTATCTCAAAAAAAAAAAAAAAAAAAAAAAAAAAAAAAAAAAAAAAAAACCCATTTCCTGAATCAGTACTGTAAAAGACCATATTTCTACAACTATCACTTCATCGTATCTCACCTCTCTTTGCAATTCAGCAAGTCTTTCACTGTGTACATCAGCAGTTTTATATAGGCTGGAGTATTCAGCATCACCATATGAAGTAACAATGCCAGACTCAGCCTTCCCCTGCAGTCCTTCTGTTAAAAATAATAATAATAATAATAATAATAATAATAATAATAATAATAATAATGGTCATATTGCATAACTGCACATACAATGAAACTGGAGTCAGCCCCCACAGGCCAAGGAATTTTACCTTGGCCTTCTTCAGCTTCCAGCAATACCTCTTAGCTCACCACAATCAGTGATGCACCACCAGTCAGGGTTAAAGCAAAGCGGGGCTTGCATCACACGCTCCCTAGTTTACTGAAAAGCTGTCCATACAGCAGCAGATGGGACCTTCAGTGAGGCTACTACAGCTTACATCCTTACCCAAATTATAGTCTGAGGAATCTGCAACTTCTTCAAAGGTCTGCTGCTTTAAATCTTGTAAAACCCAAGAATCTGAAGTTGATACTTTCATTGCAAAAATGATGTTTGAAGATCCTACCTTCTCTGTAAGGTTAAGATTATTTATATCATACTGAAATGAAGAGGACTGTGTTTCCCCAAGACCAACCACCCAGTTGTAAGCTTTTTCACTTAAAGGAAATGACTTAAGCACTGGAATAACAGAACGAGGCTTACTGAGTATGTTCTGAGGAGCATTAGGGGGTGACTTTAAATCTGGATCCCGAGATAGGGAGCTACCACCATCATCTTCTTTATGCAACAATGGTTTTGAAGCTGCTGGTTCAAACACCCCAGGAGTAGACTGGTATTTTGGATGCTTAAGTTTATCCATGAAAGAGTTTTCATCATTATAATTTAATGGAGAAAGATCTGATTTTGGGGGTTCTCTCTCTTGGCTGTCATCTGCTAATGGCTTATTGATGTCAGTTTGGATTCCCCTTATAGGACTCTCTTGCTTAGAAGACTCAATTGAGGCAATAACTGCCTCAAAGGCTACATTTTCAGTAGCATCAACATTTTTCTCACCAAAAGTAGAAGCTGCCTTTTGGGTTCTTTCCTCTTGAAAATACAGTTGTTCTGATGTTTCATCCAAGTTGGATTTAACTGTTGAAAAGGGACCACCAGAAGCCTCCAGCTTAGAGAATTCAAGTCCTCTGGAGAGTATATATGCTTCTGAAACTTGTTCATGACTATTAGGGACAGCAACCTTCCCAATATACTTTATCTCTGGAGCTTTAGCATGTACCTGAGATGACACCAAAAAATCTCTCCTCTCCTTTTGCTTAAAAAAATAAGAAAATTCTTTCTGCAGATGCTCATTTCCTTCAAAGCTCTCAAAAGAATCCATCTTTGGCCTCAGCTCAACCGCAGCAGGAGCCCCTAAACAAACATCTTTAAGATGGTTAACAGAGGTAAAGGGAGCTCCTTTTCCTCTTTCCAACATGCATCGCAGGAAAGAATATGGCATTTCACTAGGAGGAGGAGTGTTTTCACATGGGAAGGAAGTCTGGTCCTTACTGGCTAGACATGCTTCTGTCTGTTGTAAGGCTTCCTGTTCCCAATACTGATCTTGTGAACAAGCAGAACCAAAACTGTTGTTTCTTCCAGCATCTATGCTTTCATCACTAACATCAGATATAGCTGAAGCAGAAACTTGGTCTTTATCAGCCAAGTTGCCTTCTGGCTGCTGAGAATCCTTTTCCATCTGCCATGACATAAATGAAAGCAGGGCATTATCATAATTATCAGAGTCATTCAGGCTTTTCAGTTCATCAGGAGCATTAGGTGTTGCATTCTCTCCATTATTCTCTTGTTCAGATGGGAAAGAGCGCTGAGACCCAAAAGTGCTACCTGTAAGTGGATGTTGAGATATACTAAGGCAACTGTTAACTAAATCGGAAGATGTTTCTGAGGTGGCCTGGAATAAAGCTTCACTAACTTCTGATGGCCGAGCAAGCCATTCAGTATCTTCCGACTTATCAGGAATCCCTCTGAAAATATGAAGTTATAAAGAAATGATTAGCTCCTTAATATTTTAACTTTTAAGTACTAACAAAAAATACAAACCCAGTGTCACTAAAATCAAGTTTACAGAGAAACCCTTAAGGGGGGGGGGCATTTTTAAAAGCTCTAATCTTTAATTTCTACCAGACAGTTAAAGAAAACTTTGCAACTAGTAAGTAAACCTGATATTGCCTCAACATTCTACTAAATCAATTTCAACATTACAAAAAAAAGTTTAAAATTTTTAATGAGGTTTACTATTTTAAATGCATGCTACCTACTATGAATTAATATTCCTCTAACTTGTATTCCTCTGCTTACTGGTCAGTTATTGTGCTTATGGTCTACTCCAAAAACACAATATAGCTTGATCACTTTGATAATCTAATGTGAACAGAACTCTGCAACTGTGATTCTAAAGTAATATACAGTATAGTGACAGAGATTATATAAGCTTACTTTCTAAACATCTAAAATTTAGAGTTTAAGGTGGAGTTTTCTTTCCACTGTAACGGAAAACAAAGCCTTGGACAATTCCAAGTATGTATTTGAAGAATTACAAAATGCCCTTCCATTTTGAATGCTCTAGAAGACATCAATTTGAAATGTTATAAAAATCTTACTTGATATTTGCACATAGTATAAAGAAAGCTAACAAGACTGATTCAATAACAGCTAAGCAAAAAGAAAGTGCAGTATCCTAAAAATAACTGTTTTCTTCAGAATTAAGGTAGAATGAGGGAAGAACAGTGGTAGCACACACTTTAGCCTGAAGCCATTAATACTAATAACAACTTACAATAAGGGTAGAAAGTTTAGAAGGCAAAAAACCAATCACCCTACCTCAAAGGTGCAAATTCTAGTTCACTTTGTTGAAACAAGGAATCAGACTCAAATTCCTGGTGTTGTATCAAACATGTCAGCAAAGGCAAGTCAGGAGTAGCAAAGTTATTCTGTATGACTGCAAAGTTTCAAACGTAAAACAACTGAGCAATTACAAAGTGCAGTGTTTGGTGTACTTATACAATACTTTTAAGCATCTAAACATGCTATCACCTGGAAGATTCTACAATCATTACAATAATAATATAACAACAGCGGCAACCATCTACGGAACCTGAAAAGTCCCAAGCATTTAGTATACAGTATCTCATTTAATCCATGACTATTCTGAAGAATAAGTACCATTTACTATAGCTACCTTACAGGTGAGGAAACATGATTATAAAATTTACTATTATTAAATAATTTCTTCACATGTAAGTTTAAGTGCCACCAGTCTAATCTCTTTGCAAATTACTATACAATTTAGGTGTTTGTTAACAATTAAAGCATGTCTCTTTTTATTACATTTTCATTTTATGTGAGTAGTTAGGTGGGTGGGCAGATGTAAGCATGCAATGATACTCAAATGGTGATCAGGAGACAACTTACAGTAACCATTTCTCTCCTTCCATTATGTGGGTCCCAGGAATCAAACTAAGAACACATAAGATCTTGCAGCAGATGCCTTTGCCTACTAAGTCATCTTCCTGGCCCCTCAATCTTAAGTAATGTAAAATTATACCATTATATCAAAGTGTAATCTAAGGGCTCTGGGCCTTACATCATCTTAGGTGATGAGGATGAAAATTATATTCAAAAAATACTGAAACAATGCCTCCCTTCTGAAAAATATTGTTTTTTACAAAATAGTTGTCTAGAAAACTATGTACAATGTTAACATAAATAACAGTATGGCCAATTTTAAATAAACATTTCTTAAATTTTCTATTTAAGCTCTACTATGAGAAGATATTACAAACACAAATGCTTTTTGGAGTTCTAGCTCTGAAATATATAAAATAGGTATGTTACCTAAAGAGTTTGAAAACTTACTTCCAAGAAAAAAACACCATGGTTTCCTTTCATCTTAATTCTTTTGTTGGTGGTGGTGGTGGTTTGGGGAGGGCATTTCTGTTTTGTTTTGTTTTGTTTTGTTTTTTTGAGACAGGGTCTCTCTATGTAAGCCCTTGGCCACCCTGGAATTCTCTACATAGATCAGGGTGACCTCACACTCAAGAGACCCACCTGCTTCTGCCTCTCTCTCCCAAGTGCTTAAGTAATTCTTATGTCATTAAATATATATAAACTAGCATGAAATTCTTATTCCCCATAGCACTTACACAATTATAAAACAAAAATTAAATATTCATAGAAATAAAACTTTATTTCTAAAATAGCAGCCTTCTAAAATTGGCTTTAGTGGTGTTACTAAAACTAAACTGTTTTTTCAACATGACTTTAATGATTGATACAGCACACTTTCTTAATTTCAACTATGTACTCAGTGAGGACTCCACCCTGGCACCAGCCTTTACCCTGAAATTTTTGTTCACAATGGTGCTATCATCCCTCACTTGGGGCCTTAACCTACTGCTCTCTATCACTGCTCTGGATCCTGCACACTTGCTTTGTTCCTCTCAAACTCCACAAAGCTGCCTTATCACAGAATATATCTTCAACAGAAGCAAAGAATCAGCTACTCGTAGGTATTCAAAAATAAAACTGTTTACTGAATTGGTTACAAATAAGAAGTGGATAGTAACTTTCAAAACAAAATTTAGTCAGTAAAGTGCTTTCCACTCAAGCATGAAAACCTGAGGTCAATTCCATGAGCCAATGTAAAAAGGTTAGGTATGGTGTTGCACACTAGCAATTCCAGTGCTGGAGAGGGAAAGACAGGCAGATACTGAACACAGGGCAGCCAGTGAGTGACCCTGTCTCAAAAAATAAAATGGACAGCTCCTAAGGAACAATACCTGAGGTTGTCCTCTGGCATGCACATGTACAGTATACATTTGAAACTTCAACAGAGACTTAGAAACTCATTTTTAAACCTTCAAAGCAGATGATCTTCAACCCTAGAAGAATCAACTAAGTTTTTAAAAAGAAACTGCAGGTCTGGAGAGATGGCTCAGCAGTTAAGAGCACCACCTGCTCTTGCAAAGGTCCTGAGTTCAATTCCCAGCAACCACATGATGGCTCACAACCATCTGTAGTGAGATCTGGTGCCCTCTGCTGGCACACAGGCATACATGCAGACAGAACAAGGAGGAGGTGGAGGGGGAGGAAGGAAGGAAGGAAGGAAGGAAGGAAGGAAGGAAGGAAGGAAGGAAGGAAGGAAGGAGCTGCAGCTAACACCCCAATGAGCATCTAAAGGGTCCAGTAATCTTTTTAACAATTAGTCATCTGGGACTGGAAAGATGGCTCACTGGTTAAGAACACTGGCTACTGCTATCCAGAGGACCTAAGTTTGATTCACAGCACCCACATGGTGACTTACAATCATCTCTTACTCCAGTCACAGGGGAATCTGACACCCTCTGTCACTCAGGCAGTGCACAAACATGCAAACACCCATACACATAAAATAATATGAAAACTAAAAATCAGTTATCTCTAACCAGGTTCCAGAACTTACAGAAATTGTTATTATCCTAAATATTGGCATATAACCAAGAAATCATAAGTTATAAGCATCATTTAAGCATCTCCTCAAATACTTAAAAATATCTGAGTGGAGTTTGAGAGTAAAATCAGGTAAGTAGGAAAATGCATTTTCTAAAGGAACAGATCAGAATTAAACAGTTAATTTTCAAATATGCCATGTATATGTGGATAAGTGATGGGAAGGCTGTACAGTTAGCTGGCAATGCCTCCTTCATACTGCTCTGAACAGTTTCTTCACATTTGGACAGATATTGCCAATGTGGGAATATTTTCCCTCTATCACCAGTTATATCAATGATACGTGCCATTGGTGAAAGCCTAACACCATGGTGCTAGTATCCATGCAGGACAGAACAGCAGGAATGGCATGCCCACTGGCAATAAGATGCAAAAATACAGTAGCTTCAAATGTCCTGTAAAGGAGAAACTGCAGCTATACAACACATTAGGACAGGAGAGATTGCATTTTACAGTCTCTCATTCAATGCTAAAATCTTTCTGTTACAGAATTTTCTGTGACATTTTGCCATAACAGAACTTTTCTGTTTCTGGTATATTACCTTTTTAAAAAAGATCATATATTAGAGGCAGGTGGATCTCTGTGAATTCAAGACCAGCCTGGTATACAAGAGCTAGTTCCAGGACAGCCTCCAAAGCCACAGAGAAACCCTGTCTCGAAAAACCAAAACAAGATCATATATTGAGTTAAATGCAGCTTCCTATACTTTCATGTCTTCATTTTAACTTCTACACAAATTAGCTAGCATTTCTGATCAAAGGTCAAAGGATAAATATTTTAGGCTTATTGATAACATATAAGCTATCACATACACTTTGTTTTCACGATCTTTTAAAAATTCAAATGGTGAAGGCTGTAGCTCAGGAGTAAAAGATTTGCCAAGCTTTGGGTTACTGCCAAAGCACAGTAATCCCAGCACTTGGGAGGAGGTTAAAGCAAGGAGCCCTAGAGTTCCCAGAAGAATAAGAAATGACACAGGACTTTCTGAGAACAACTAACTTAAATGAATATAGAGAATAAGCACTCTTAGAATTTGTACTCAGAGAGAGTACAAAATCAAGCCACAGTCTGTGGGCTGTAATTTGCAGACTCCTGTTCTTGAGACCATAGTAACACTCATCCAATAGTACTGCTATCTTCTGTTTACAGAAATTTCTTCACAGAAAAGGAGGTAGCGTTCATCTATGTACCCTTGGATCCAACACATCAGGTAGTTAGCAAGGCAGCCTTCAATCATTTGGTCGCAGCTATCTCCTCTGACCAAGGCTGTCCTAGTTAGGGTTGCTATTGTTGTGAGGAGACACCAGGACCACAGAAACTCTTACAAAGGAAAACATTTCATTGGGGTAGCTCACAGGTTTAGAGGTTTAGTTCATTATCATCACGTTGGGCCATGGCAGTATGCAAGGGGACATGGTGCTAGAGGAGCTGAGCACTCTACATCTTACTGGCAACAAGAAGTAAATAGAGATACTGGGTATGGCTGGAGCATATGAGACCTCAAAGCCCACCTTCACAGTAACCCATTTCTTCCAACAAGGCCACCCTTACTCCAACGAAGCAGCACCTCCCTATTGTGCCATTCCCTTTAGGGAACCATATTCTACTCCCTGGTCCCCAAAGGCTTGTAGCCATATCAAATGGAAAATGCATTCAGTCTAATTTCAAAAGTCTCCATAGTCTATTAAATCTCAAATTAGTTTAAAAGTCTAAAAGTCTCTTCTGAGATTCATGCAATCTCTTAACTGTAATCCCCTGTAAAATCAAAATCAATAAGCAGACCACATACTTCCAACATATAATGGCACAGGATATACACTACTATTCTAAAACATAGGGAAGGGAGCATAGTGAGGATATATTGGACCAAAGCAACACCAAAAACCAACTGGGCAAACTCCAAACTCTGTATCTGATGTCAAAGCATTCTTCAGATCTCCAACTCCTTTCAGCTTTGCTGACTACAACACACTTCTTTCTCTTGTGATGAGGAACAAGATCGAACATGGGATAGGTTATTAACTGGTAATTTATTAAGAAGAGGTACTCACACAAGGAACCAATAACCAGATTTGGCACTCCGAGAAGTCCGGTCCCAGACGTCTCCAAGACCTGGCCTGAACCCCGAGAAAGGAGGATCGCCTCCTCTCCTAGCTCGTTATCCTACCCCTCTACATACTTGTGACCACGCCCATATGGTACAGTTATCCAGGGTCTCTCCCTATACTCTTGAGCTGGTTCCACTCCCTGTTAGCTTTCCTCAGCAGTTATCCTACAGTACTGTCATCTGCAGGGGTCTCCAAGGCAATCTAGGCTTCATCTTCACAGCTTCACACAACGGCTTCTCTGGGCCTCCATTCAGGGGCACCCTTGACACACACCTTGCCTCGGCAGCTTTCCTTAGGCGAAGAGGCAAATTCCATAACCCCTTTCTTCTATCCTTGGCTTTAAAGCCAGAGAACCACATGGCCAAAGATGCCAAGTTCTGCTGCTTGCTGGGGCTAGAACATGACCCCACTGTCCAATTACATCTTCACCAGCTTTGTTTTCAATGGTGTCCTTCACTGCCTAAACCTGGCTGTCCTGAAACTTGCTCTATAGACCAGGCTGGCTTCAAATTCAGAAATCCACCTGCCTCTGTCTCCTGAGGGCTGGGATTAAAAGTATGCACCACCACATCTGGCTCTAAACTTTTAATCCTTTTCACAAATTGGAAATTTACCTGGGTGGGATCTTCCCTGAGGTCACCATTCCCTTTATTCTATTTCTTAATCTGTTTATCTCCTTGAACACAGGACTTAGCTCCATTCCACTTCCTGGTGCTCCTTTTCTGCAAAAATTTTACATTTTGTTGTTTACCCTGCTCAGCTTGCTCCTTTTCATTATAAATCTTTATTAAAGTTACCACTAACAATACACATTCTTCACCAAAATGTCACAAGAGCAATCTCTAGGCCACATACTAACATTCTCCTCTGAAACCTCTTGAGCCAGGCACCTATAGTTCAAATCACAATCAGCACCACTGTCTTCCATGTTCCTACTAGGATGGCCATTAAGCAGCACTTAAAGTGCTCAACTACTGTTCTAATCCACAGTCCCAAGGTCCATATTCCTTCAAACAAAGGCATGGTCTGGCCTATCACAGCAATATCACAGTCCCTAGTACCAACTTCTGTCTTAGTCAGGGTTTCTATTACTGTGAAGAGACACCATGACCATGGCAAACTCTTATAAAGGAAAACATTTAAATGGGTGGTTTACAACAGTTCAGAGGTTCAGTTCATTATCATCATGGTGGGACATGGTGGTGTGCAGACACGGTGCTGGATAAGTAGCTGGGAGATCTACATCTTGTAGTCAACAGGAAGTGAACTGAGCATATTTGAGAGGAAGTGGCTTGAGCATATATGAGAGGCTGCAAAGCCCACCCCCACATTGATACACTTCTTTCAACAAGGCCTTACCCACTCCAACAAAGCCATACCTCCTAATAGTACACTCCCTGAGTTTTTGGGGGCCAATTAGATTCAAACTACCACAAAGGTCAACACCTTTTTCCAAAGGGAAGTCATCTGTAGGTTGACTTTAATAGTCCACACCACATAACACTGTACTAGTATCCTGGCTTGCACATTAGCTTGTTTTGAAAAGAATAAGCTCAACTAGGTCCTCATCTGCTTCTCTAAAAAAATTCTATAAAACCAACTTTATGGTTAAACTCCTTGATTTGAAAGGTACTTGAAGTTTATCTTTGGTAGAGAACTAAGAAAGCCATTCTACACTAAAAGAAAAGCAATAAGATCTAGCTCAAGGAAATGACTCAATTTCCTCATCTTAATTGTTTTATTCTCAAAGCTGAGGATAACAATGGTTTAGAATGACTCTAAGAATCAAATAAGGTAAATATATACAAACCTAGACACATCTGGGGGGAAAGGAATCTTATTTGAGAAATTGACTCTATCAGATTGCCTGTTCGGAAAGAAAGGCTGAGCCCACTGTGGGTGGTGCTACCTGGAGGCAAGTGATCCTGGTTTTTAAAAAAACATAATAAGTAAATATATAAAAGAAAAAAGAAAGCAGGTTGAGTAAGCCAAGGGGGAAAAGCCAGTAAACAGTATTCTTCCATGGCCTCTGCTTCAGTTCCTGTGAGTCCCGGCCTTGGTTTCTCTCAATGGGCTATGATCTAGGATATGCCACTCAAATAAATTCTTTCCTGCCTAAGTTGGTTTTGGTCATGATCTTTATCACAGCTATAGAAAGCAAACTAAGACATGTAGACACTTATTTTATTTATCAGGAAACATTGAGTGTCCACTGATGAGGGAACACCAGTCAAAGAATACGTGATTTTCCCCAAGAGCAACTGTGCTATGGACACATACCTATTTGAATGGGAATGAATGATCTCCTTTCAACCTTCTATGAACAATGGGACATGCTAAGATGCATATTTCATATAGCTAAGCCAACCAGCCAGCCAGTGTGAAAAACCAGAACCAACTGGTTTGAGTATAGCTCCACAGAGATCCTCAACTAAAATGGTTTTAGTTAGAAACAAGGATAGTAAGTACCCCCACCTACACAGACACACAGACACACAGACACACAGACACACAGACACACACACACACACACACACACACACACACACACACACACAGTTTCTACCTCTAGTTAAAGACAAAGGCATTGGGGGTGGAGAGAAAGTTTGGCAGTTAAGAACACTAGCTGTCCTTCAAGAGGATCTGGGTTTGATTCCCAGTACCCATAATTCCAGATCCAGAGAATCAGACATCCTCTTCTGGACACCATGGGCACCAGGCAAGAACATGGTACACAGATATACATACAAGTAAAACACCCATACATATAAAATAAAATAAAATATATATAAAAAAATACAGAGGCATTACCTATCAATGGAGAACATAAGAAATTTAGCTTTGGTTCCGTAACTGGACGTTCTGCCTGAGCCAATTCACCTCCCTCCTGAGAGGGGAAGTCTGTCACTTTTGTTCCTTCTATTCTCACATCAGTCTCGGTCTGGGATGTTTCCAAGGTTTGGGAAGGATCCCTTTCTTGAGGAAGATGATTCCAAGATTCTGCTCTCTGAAACAATTTTAAACAGAAAAGATGCTGAGTCATTAGCTGAGTCAACACATTTATATCTTAGACTACTGTCCACTCAGCATATTTAACAATATTCTCATCCGAATGGAACAAGGAAAGTAGTTCCTTCTATTTGCTTTCTTTTTTTCTTTTTTCTTTTTTTTTTTTTTTTTTTTTTTTTTTTTTTTTTTTTGGTTTTTTGAGTTAGGGTTTCTCTGTGGCTTTAGAGGCTGTCCTGGAACTAGCTCTTGTAGACCAGGCTGGTCTTGAACTCACACAGATCTGCCTGCCTCTGCCTCCCGAGTGTGGGATCAAAGGCGTGTGCCACCACCAACCCCCGGCTTCTATTTTCTTTCTTATTACATTAACCTACTCCTAGACCTCTTCAAATCACTCCTAGTGTTGTATTTTAAGTTCTCACTGTTAAATCAATACATTTAGTACTACATAACAAATCCATACTGGATTGGATTTTATTTAAAAAAACAAAAACAAACAAACAAAAACAAACAAACAAAAAAATACCGAACAAAACCTAGAGTTGATCTATTCGTAGGTATTTACTCAACAGAAATGAAGTCATGTTTACTCAAAAACAATGAAAATTTAAAGAGTTCATACATGGGCTAATTTTAAAAGGAAAGAAATCAGATTTTTAAAAGTCCACACACTGTAATTCTAAAAAAGCAAAGCAGCCAGACCGTGTTCACAGAGGCATGGGTGAGCTGGCCCTGAGGATGTGTTGAGTGGGAAGCTGGTCACACCCCTCTGTCTGCCATGTGGTGGTGAGGATGAAAGATGCCCCCCACCCCTACATGGCAGCTCACAACTATCTGTAACTCCAGTAATACTACCCTCTCTGACCTCTGTGGGTACCAAGTATACAGATATACATGTAATCAAAGCATTCATACAAAGAAACAAAATAAATAAACCTAAAATAATTTTTGTTACTAAATAATAGGTGGATAGTAACTGAGGAGAGCTGAATACTGGTCTCCACATATTTGCATATATATATACATGCATGCACGTATACATGAACATATACATACATACCACACAAAAAGTTACATTTCTGGACTATCCAAAGAAGAAATGAGAAAAGAGTTTCATTAATATAGCATCAGCAGTCAATAATCTCAGCACTTTGGCAGAGGGAGTTCAAGGCCAGCCTGGATTATAGCAAGTTCCTGATCCCACCTCACCAAGAAAAAAAAAAAAAATCAGCTAGGCATGGTAGCACCTGTAATCCCAGCATTTAAGAGGCAGAGGCAGCAGATCTCCGAGTTCTACAAAGTGAGTTCCCGGATGGATAGTCAAGGATATTACAGAGGAACTCTTTCTCAGAAAAACAAAAACAAAAAAGTCAGTTGATATATACGTAAATACTTAAGACTTGTATCCTAAAGAGTGTAAGATTCTAATGAAAGAAGTTGAGAAAAGCGCCAATAGCTAGGCATACATGGTGGCACACACCAGCCTGGTCTATATAGTTGAGTTCCAGGCCAGCTAAGACAAGCTACACAATGAGACCCTCTCAAGAAAGGTGATTTGGGGAGAAGGACGAGGAGCTGAGAGGGAAAAAGAAAGAAGCACAAATGTTTGGGGATTAAACAGCCCAGGTTTGGGGATTAAAAGAATTAATAATGTTAACCTGCCCATACTGCCAAAGCAATACACAAAGACAATACAATTTCTATCAAATTCCAACCACATTTTTCAAGAAAATTTAAAACAAAAATCCCATCATCCATATGGAACCAAAGAAACCCAAACAGTCTAAGCAATTTTAAGAAAGAAAAAGCCAAGTGTCCTTTTTCTTGATTTCAACTACACAAGAAAAATAACTCAAAATTAATTTTTAAATGTAAAAACTGAAGTCATACAATAAGAAAACACAAGGGAAAAGCTCTGGCAATGTTCTGCATATCACACCATAAGCTCTGGGTACAAACTGAAGAGATGGAACTTATCAAACTGAGAAGCTGCACCACAAAAGAAGCAACAAAATGAAAAGGAGGCTGCAGAGTATGATGCTCATGGGTAGAGTACCTGCCAGACATTCATGAGACCCTTAGTTCAATATGTAGCAGAGGAAAAGAAAGAGAGAGAGAACAAAGGGGACAAAATAGTAGAGGTCCTGGGGGGTAGAGCTAGAAATAGGGAAGAGGAAGAAAAAGCATGCTATAAAATGGGAGAAACTGTTGGCGCACGCCTTTAATTCCAGCACTCTGGAGGCAGAGGCAGGCAGATCTCTTGTGAGTTCGAGGCCAGCCTGGTCTCCAGAGCAAGTGCCAGGATAGGCTCCAAAACTACACAGAGAAACCCTGTCTCGAAAAACCAAATAATAATAATAATAATAATAATAATAATAATAAATAAATAAATGGGAGAAACTATTTTGCAATATTTGCAAACTCTGTATCTAATGTGTTTCTCTGTGAGTTCAAAGTCTGTCTAGTCACATATTGAGTTTCAGTACACCCAGGACTACATAAAGACCTTGTTTCTAAATAAATAAATACATAGGGGCTAGAAAGATGGCTCCATTGTTAAAAGCACTGGCTGCTCTTGCAGAGAACCCAGCATTCAGTTCCCAGCACTCACCTGTAGGCTCACAAACATCTATAACTCCAAGGGATCTGACACCATCTTCTTACTTCACAGGTACCAGGCATACAAGTGGTGCAGATATACATAGCAGCAAACATCCATACACATAAAATAAAAATAAATCTAAAAATGTATTTAAATAGATAAAAATATATAGAATTCATATATAGAAAACCATCTGATTGTTGACACAGATAAAGGTCCACAGTAGATTGTATCATACCACCTTGTACTTTACTGATCTCTGCCTATCCTGGAAGCTAAGCAGGATTCGGCCTAGTTATTATTTTAGATGAGAGATCGACTGACACATGCAAAGCCCTGAGTTTTTAATTTAAAGCCCAATAGGAAACAGACAGGCCAAATAAAGAATGGGCAAAAGCTCTAAATGTAAACGGACATTCCTATAAAGGAGATGTATGAATGATCAATAAGCACAAAACAAAACAAAACAAAACAAAACAAAAAATACATTCATCATTAGTCAGACATGGTGAACAGGAACTCTCATACAGTGCTAGTGAGAATGAAAAATGGCACAGCCAAGGGGGGGCGTGGAAGGGGGTGGCACACGCCTTTAATCCCAGCACTCGGGAGTCAGAGGCAGACGGATCTCTGTGAATTCTAGGCTAACCTGGTCTACAGAACTAGTTCCAGGACAGCCTCCAAAGCCACAGAAAAACCCTGTCTCAAACCGCCCCCCCAAAAAAGGCACAGCCACACTGGAAAACAATCCAGCAGGCCCTTAAAGGGTTAAACACAGAATTGCCAAATTTCCAGCAATTCCACTACCAGATATATACCCAAGAGAAATGAACTCATGCCCACAGTAACATGTAAGTTTAGAGCAGCAGCATTTTTGACAGGAAAAAAAAATGAGCTAGCCAAGAGCCATTTCCTCAGATGAAAAGTAAATAAACCTCTACAGTGGCAAATCAAAAGAAAAATATACAGAACTAAGAATGAGAAATGAAAACTGCCACATACAAACAAAAAATAAACAAAACTATATAGCACTCCTTTCTAATGAACTAGAGACATTCCTGAAATGAAGGACTTTCTAGGAAAATCTTACACTGTCAAAATTAACCCAAGAAATGTCTATGTACATAGACCACACCTGAGAGGAACCTGGAAACACCATAATTTTGCTTCTGGTACAGCTCAAACATTAGAGAAATATTTCGGCACAACTAATCAGTTCCAGGGCATAGAAAATATTCATCCCAGTGCCCACCTTTCATGCAAATGGAATGGAATACCACAGACAGGTGAAAGGCTCAGACCAATTGCTCTTGTGAAACAAAAGGGCAACCTGCTATCAGAAAAGAAGCTGAGCACTAGATGGAAGCTGGAGGATAAGAGTAAAGGGAGGAGGGGCTGACAAGAAACTTACAAAATTTGCAAGCTGGGTTCATGACTCCCTTCAAAGTTGAAGACCAAGAATCTCTGGTACTACAACCAATGAACATTGCAGTCTCCCAAAAATAGTTTCCTTCAAAATGAAAGCTTCAAGGAGAAGTGTCTGAAATCATCTAAGCTGAAAGAGCCACAGGTTCAGCAGGAAAACAAAATCGCAGAGGCTCTGATCACTCACTCCTTAACCCAGTCTTTAATAAGCAGTAAGGAGAGAAAGGAAGGAGCTGGTCCGTGTAAAGCAGTAGGCAGAGAAGAAACAAACAGAGCTGGCTCCACCTGTAAAGCCAGACCTGAGTTCAATCCCAACATAAAAAGAGGAAAACTGTTTTCTGACTTTCAGCCCCTGCTCTGGTGAAGGGAGACAAGAAGATCCCTGGAACTTGCTGGCGGGCCATCCTAACCTAGTCCATTCAGCTACAGGTTCAGTGACAAATTCTGTTTCAAAACTTAAGATGGAAGGTATGGTGGCACACACCTTTAACCCCAGCACTCTGGGAGGAAGAGACAGGTGATCTCTATAAAGACAACCTGGTCAAATTAAATAAATAAGGTGGGAAGCAATCCACATGTACCCATACACAGATATACATGTGCACACAAACACTGCCCCACACATATACATATACACACACAACAAACTGTTCGTTATAACAATCTTACTATTTAGGAAGAGACAGATGATAGAGGAATTGAATACTACACAATGAACACATCTTTAAAAACTGGGGAGGAATGGGGCATAGTGGCTCAGACCTTTAAGCCTAGCACTTGGGAGGCAGAAGCAAGTGGATCTCTGAGTTCAAGGATAGCCCAGTCTACATAGAGAGTTTCAGAACAGCCAGGGCTACACAGTGAAACCCTGTGTGTGGAGGGGTGGGCCTGGGGGAGGAGAGCACAGTTCAGAGGCACAGTTTGCCTAATAGGCATCAAGATCAGGATTCGCAATCCCCAACTTCATAAAACAAACTAAAAGTGGGCCACCTACACCTTCCTACATTCTCTAATGTAAATAACTGATAGAAGAAAAGAAAAATAGGAATGGATATGATGATCACACCTTTATTGCCAGCAGAGGCAGTCAGATCTCTGAAGAGTCAGATCAACATAGCAAGTTCCAGGCCAGCCAGGGCTATATAGTGAGACCCTGTCTCAAAAACAAAACAAAACTTCCAGGGAAGGAGAGAGACACCCCAAGCTCAAAGAAGCAGAATTTTTCTACTACAATTATATAGGTCATTGTAAACCAGGAAAACAATTTTCTCATATTAGGTATGGTAAGAGTTAAAGTGGGGGCTGGAGAGATGGAGAGATGGCTCAGAGGTTAAGAGCACTGGCTGCTCTTCCAGAAGTCCTGAGTTCAATTCCCAGCAACTACATGGTGTCTCAAACCATCCATTATGAGATCTGGTACATGGAAGCAGAATGTTGTATACATAATAAATAAATAAAATCTTTAAAAAAAAAAAAAGAGTTAAAGTGGGCTCATTTAAGAACTCCACTAGGTAGGCCTAAAGAAATAAATTTAAATATTCATAGTTACTCAAATAAGAATTCAGAAGTTAGAAGATGGTCTAGATGTAGATAATGTAGTACTTAAAATTTCTAGCCCAGACCACTTCTCTAATCTTCAAAACCAAACTCAATCTTAGCACCCACCCAGCCAATTCATCACCAGCTCAAAGCTGACCTGGCCACATCTCAAAATCAGCATAAGCATTTACTCACTCACCTAATGCCTAGACACTACCCTCCACAACCAAGCCATTAATTACTAAGTGTGATGATTTTCCTTCCTAAGTATCGATACTGTTCTGGGATGGATGGTTTGTGCCAAGCCATTTTAATCTCAGAGCAAGGCTGTTTGGACCTCAAAGCAGGTTAGGTTTCAATGCAAAGTCCCTGCTGCCTTCAGAAAGAGCTAACTTAAGCTCTGGCTGCAACCTGTCTCAGGACACACTAACGCCACTGTCTCCGCTCTTTAATGAGCACACTAGACCATCAGAAATTTGACCATGAGTGACCCACACTAGACCATCACAAATTTGACCCTGAGTGACCCACACCTACAATGCACAAATTTGACCCTGAGTGACCCACACCTACAATGCACAGAAACAATTCACACACACACACACACACACACACACACACACACACACAAGTCCCACCAGAGATGACATCATGACACTGAGACAATGCCAGGAAAGCCTCCTATTAAAGAGCCTAAACTTTCTACTTCTGCCTTTTCATCTTGGTGAATTCACAAGTTCAAGTTACCTATTTTATGCATTCATAGAATTTTAGCATACACTATTTTCACTTACGGAACCATGAGAATTTTATCTGCCCCTACTCTTAAGAGTGGGAACGCCTGAGCCAAGACACACGGGGGCGGGCCTAGGCCCTATCCCCTATCCCAAAGGATACAATATACTCTGATGACACCCTATGGAAGGCCTCACCATCCAGGGGGAGCAGAAAGGATA